GGGCTCACTGCTGTGAGAGAGAGGTGGTTAACACGGACAGTGGGGGGCTCGCTTCTGTGTGAGAGAGAGAGGTGGTTAACACGGACAATGGGGGGCTCACTGCTGTGAGAGAGAGAGAGGTGGTTAACACGGACAGTGGGGGGCTCATTGCTGTGAGAGAGAGGTGGTTAACACGGACAGTGGGGGGCTCGCTGCTGTGAGAGGTGGTTAACACGGACAGTGGGGGGCTCACTGCTGTGTGTGAGAGGTGGTTAACACGGACAGTGGGGGGCTCACTGCTGTGTGAGAGAGGTGGTTAACACGGACAGTGGGGGGCTCGCTGCTGTGTGAGAGAGAGGTGGTTAACACGGACAGTGGGGGGCTCTGCTGTGTGTGAGAGGTGATTAACACGGGCAGTGGGGGGCTCACTGCTGTGTGAGAGAGAGGTGATTAACACGGACAGTGGGGGGCTCACTGCTGTGTGAGAGAGAGAGGTGGTTAACACGGACAGTGGGGGGCTCTGCTGTGTGTGAGAGGTGGTTAACACGGACAGTGGGGGACTCGCTGCTGTGTGTGAGAGAGGTAGTTAACACGGAGAGTGGGGGGCTCTGCTGTGTGTGAGAGGTGGTTAACACGGACAGTGGGGGGCTCACTGCTGTGTGAGAGAGAGGTCGTTAACACGGAGAGTGGGGGGCTCTGCTGTGTGTGAGAGGTGGTTAACGCGGACAGTGGGGGGCTCACTGCTGTGTGTGAGAGAGGTAGTTAACACGGAGAGTGGGGGGCTCTGCTGTGTGTGAGAGGTGGTTAACACGCACAGTGGGGGGCTCACTGCTGTGTGAGAGAGGTGGTTAACACGGACAGTGGGGGGCTCGCTGCTGTGTGAGAGAGAGGTGGTTAACACGGACAGTGGGGGGCTCTGCTGTGTGTGAGGGGTGATTAACACGCGCAGTGGGGGGCTCACAGCTGTGTGAGAGAGAGGTGATTAAAACGGACAGTGGGGGGCTCACTGCTGTGTGTGAGAGAGGTAGTTAACACGGAGAGTGGGGGGCTCTGCTGTGTGTGAGAGGTGGTTAACTCGGACAGTGGGGGGCTCACTGCTGTGTGAGAGAGGTGGTTAACACGGACAGTGGGGGGCTCGCTGCTGTGTGAGAGAGAGGTGGTTAACACGAACAGTGGGGGGCTCACTGCTGTGTGAGAGAGAGGTGATTAACACGGACAGTGGGGGGCTCGCTGCTGTGTGTGAGAGAGAGGTGGTTAACACGGATAGTGGGGGGCTCGCTGCTGTGTGAGAGAGAGGTGGTTAACACGGACAGTGGGGGGCTCACTGCTGTGTGTGAGAGAGAGGTGGTTAACACGGACAGTGGGGGGCTCGCTGCTGTGTGAGAGAGAGGTGGTTAACACGGACAGTGGGGGGCTCACTGCTGTGTGTGAGAGAGGTGGTTAACACGGACAGTGGGGGGCTCACTGCTGTGTGAGAGAGGTGGTTAACACGGACAGTGGGGGGCTCACTGCTGTGTGAGAGAAATGGTTAACACGGACAGTGGGGGGCTCACTGCTGTGTGAGAGAGAGGTGGTTAACACGGACAGTGGGGGGCTCACTGCTGTGAGAGAGGTGGTTAACACGGACAGTGGGGGGCTCACTGCTGTGTGTGAGAGAGGTGGTTAACACGGAGAGTGGGGGGCTCTGCTGTGTGTGAGAGGTGGTTAACACGGACAGTGGGGGGCTCACTGCTGTGTGAGAGAGAGGTGGTTAACACGGACAGTGGGGGGCTCGCTGCTGTGTGAGAGAGAGGTGGTTAACACGGACAGTGGGGGGCTCACTGCTGTGTGTGAGAGAGGTGGTTAACACGGACAGTGGGGGGCTCACTGCTGTGTGAGAGAGGTGGTTAACACGGACAGTGGGGGGCTCACTGCTGTGTGAGAGAAATGGTTAACACGGACAGTGGGGGGCTCACTGCTGTGTGAGAGAGAGAGGTGGTTAACACGGACAGTGGGGGGCTCTGCTGTGTGTGAGAGGTGGTTAACACGGACAGTGGGGGACTCGCTGCTGTGTGTGAGAGAGGTAGTTAACACGGAGAGTGGGGGGCTCTGCTGTGTGTGAGAGGTGGTTAACACGGACAGTGGGGGGCTCACTGCTGTGTGAGAGAGAGGTAGTTAACACGGAGAGTGGGGGGCTCTGCTGTGTGTGAGAGGTGGTTAACGCGGACAGTGGGGGGCTCACTGCTGTGTGTGAGAGAGGTAGTTAACACGGAGAGTGGGGGGCTCTGCTGTGTGTGAGAGGTGGTTAACACGGACAGTGGGGGGCTCACTGCTGTGTGAGAGAGGTGGTTAACACGGACAGTGGGGGGCTCGCTGCTGTGTGAGAGAGAGGTGGTTAACACGGACAGTGGGGGGCTCTGCTGTGTGTGAGGGGTGATTAACACGGGCAGTGGGGGGCTCACTGCTGTGTGAGAGAGAGGTGATTCACACGGACAGTGGGGGGCTCACTGCTGTGTGTGAGAGAGGTAGTTAACACGGAGAGTGGGGGGCTCTGCTGTGTGTGAGAGGTGGTTAACTCGGACAGTGGGGGGCTCACTGCTGTGTGAGAGAGGTGGTTAACACGGACAGTGGGGGGCTCGCTGCTGTGTGAGAGAGAGGTGGTTAACACGAACAGTGGGGGGCTCACTGCTGTGTGAGAGAGAGGTGATTAACACGGACAGTGGGGGGCTCGCTGCTGTGTGTGAGAGAGAGGTGGTTAACACGGATAGTGGGGGGCTCGCTGCTGTGTGAGAGAGAGGTGGTTAACACGGACAGTGGGGGGCTCTCTGCTGTGTGTGAGAGAGAGGTGGTTAACACGGACAGTGGGGGGCTCGCTGCTGTGTGAGAGAGAGGTGGTTAACACGGACAGTGGGGGGCTCACTGCTGTGTGTGAGAGAGGTGGTTAACACGGACAGTGGGGGGCTCACTGCTGTGTGAGAGAGGTGGTTAACACGGACAGTGGGGGGCTCACTGCTGTGTGAGAGAAATGGTTAACACGGACAGTGGGGGGCTCACTGCTGTGTGAGAGAGAGGTGGTTAACACGGACAGTGGGGGGCTCACTGCTGTGAGAGAGGTGGTTAACACGGACAGTGGGGGGCTCACTGCTGTGTGTGAGAGAGGTGGTTAACACGGAGAGTGGGGGGCTCTGCTGTGTGTGAGAGGTGGTTAACACGGACAGTGGGGGGCTCACTGCTGTGTGAGAGAGAGGTGGTTAACACGGACAGTGGGGGGCTCGCTGCTGTGTGAGAGAGAGGTGGTTAACACGGACAGTGGGGGGCTCTGCTGTGTGTGAGAGGTGATTAACACGGACAGTGGGGGGCTCACTGCTGTGTGAGAGAGAGGTGGTTAACACGGAGAGTGGGGGGCTCTGATGTGTGTGAGAGGTGGTTAACACGGACAGTGGGGGGCTCACTGCTGTGTGAGAGAGGTGGTTAACACGGACAGTGGGGGGCTCGCTGCTGTGTGAGAGAGAGGTGGTTAACACGGACAGTGGGGGGCTCACTGCTGTGTGTGAGAGGTGGTTAACACGGACAGTGGGGGGCTCGCTGCTGTGTGAGAGAGAGGTGGTTAACACGGACAGTGGGGGACTCGCTGCTGTGTGAGAGAGGTGGTTAACACGGACAGTAGGGGGCTCGCTGCTGTGTGTGAGAGAGGTAGTTAACACGGAGAGTGGGGGGCTCACTGCTGTGAGAGAGAGAGGTGGTTAACACGGACAGTGGGGGGCTCACTGCTGTGTGAGAGAGAGGTGGTTAACACGGACAGTGGGGGGCTCTGCTGTGTGTGAGAGGTGGTTAACACGGACAGTGGGGGGCTCACTGCTGTGTGAGAGAGAGGTGGTTAACACGGACAGTGGGGGGCTCGCTGCTGTGTGTGAGAGAGAGGTGGTTAACACGGAGAGTGGGGGGCTCTGCTGTGTGTGAGAGGTGGTTAACACGGACAGTGGGGGGCTCACTGCTGTGTGAGAGAGAGGTGGTTAACACGGACAGTGGGGGGCTCGCTGCTGTGTGAGAGAGAGGTGGTTAACACGGATAGTGGGGGGCTCGCTGCTGTGTGTGAGAGAGAGGTGGTTAACACGGATAGTGGGGGGCTCGCTGCTGTGTGAGAGAGAGGTGGTTAACACGGACAGTGGGGGGCTCACTGCTGTGTGAGAGAAATGGTTAACACGGACAGTGGGGGGCTCACTGCTGTGTGTGAGAGAGAGGTGGTTAACACGGACAGTGGGGGGCTCTGCTGTGTGTGAGAGGTGGTTAACACGGACAGTGGGGGGCTCACTGCTGTGTGAGAGAGAGGTGGTTAACACGGAGAGTGGGGGGCTCTGCTGTGTGTGAGAGGTGGTTAACACGGACAGTGGGGGGCTCACTGCTGTGTGAAAGAGAGGTGGTTAACACGGACAGTGGGGGGCTCACTGCTGTGAGAGAGAGGTGGTTAACACGGAGAGTGGGGGGCTCTGCTGTGTATGAGAGGTGGTTAACACGGACAGTGGGGGGCTCACTGCTGTGTGAGAGAGAGGTGGTTAACACGGACAGTGGGGGGCTCGCTGCTGTGTGAGAGAGAGGTGGTTAACACGGACAGTGGGGGGCTCTGCTGTGTGTGAGAGGTGATTAACACGGACAGTGGGGGGCTCACTGCTGTGTGAGCGGTTGCCATGGAAACGGGAGGGACGTGCGGGTGGGGGAGGAGGCGGCGAGCGCAGCCGGATCCGTGGGGCCCGCGAGGTTGCAGGCGCCGCACGTGGCAGCTGTAGCTCCTGCTGTAGCTGCTGCTGCTCCTGCTGTAGCTGTTGCTGCTGTAGCTGCTGCTGTTGCTGCTGCCGTTACTGCTGCTGCTGTAGTAGCTGTTGCTGCAGCTGCTGCTGTAGCTGTTACTGCAGCTGCTGCTGTAGCTGTTACTGCTGTAGCTGCTGCTGTAGCTGCTGCTGCTCCTGCTGTAGCTGTTGCTGCTGCTGCTGTAGCAGTTGCTGCTGTAGCTGCTGCTACTGCTGTTGCTGCTGTAGCTGTTACTGCTGCTGAAGTTGCTGCTGCAGCTGTTGTTGCTGCAGCTGCTGTTGTAGCTGTTACTGCTGCTGCTGTAGCTGTTGCTGCTGCTGTAGCTGCTGCAGCAGCTGCTGCTGCTGCAGCAGCCGTTCGTCGCCCCTGTTACTGTTGCCGGTGTAACTTTCTACTTTTGCTGCTGCTGCTGCTGAAGTTGTCGCTCCTCCTGTTGCTCTCGCTGCTGCAGCTTTGCTGTAGCCGGCCCTGCTGCTCCTGCTGCTGTTGTTGGTGCTCCAGCTGACGTGGAGACGCGGGGCCGGCGCCAGCAGCACCCGCGTTCACGCGACACGTGGCTCATCTCGCCGCAGCTGTAGCTGAAGCAGGAGGCTGTGCTCGGGCTGATGAAGCATCATCCCTGCTGTTGCTCGTCGTCCATGGACATCGACTGAGGAGGTGGGGATTAACGAGGCGGGAGAGGAGGAGGATGAGGTGGTGGTGGGAGACACGGGGGTGGGAGTCGTGGCGATTGTGGCGACTTCTGCTCGCCATCGCTTGGAGCCTCGGGGCTCCCATCCACTTTGCAGTACTGTACTCGTATTGCAGTCAAGCCACTGGTGGTCAAACGGCCCCCCCACCCACACCCCCCCACCACCCCCCCCCCCCCCCCCCCCCCCCCCGCACACCCCCCCCCCCCACCACCCCACCCCACCACACCCCCACCCCCCCCACCCCCCCCACCATACTCCCACCCCCCACCCCCCCACCACCCCCCCCCCACCACACTCCCCTCACCACACTCCCCTCCCCCACACTCCCCCCCCCCACACTCCCCCCCCCACACTCCCCCCCCCCACACTCCCCCCCCACACTCCCCCCCCACACCCACCCCCCACACCCACCCCCCACACCCACCCCCCACACTCCCACCCCCCCACACTCTACTTGATCATACTTCACGCTGGCGACTGCGGGATAGGGCTGAGCGATTAATCGATTTCAAATCGGAATCGCAGTTTGAAAGAATGCGATTCCTAAATCGCAAAGGCTGCGATTTTTTTGCGATTTGAAAAGTCTTATTACGGTCTTATTGGAATTGTTTTTTTATTATCATAACTTTTTCAAACTTAACAATTGTTCTATGTTCGATTGTTCCATTTCAATTAAAACATTTTAATAAATACATGTTGGAAGCAATTCATATATTTTAAGTTCTCATCCATGCATTGGAATATGTAGAGCAGTTCATATTTTGATGGTACCACGTGGTAATAATGCTCCATCACGTGTTTGAAATCTATTACACAGTGAATATTGAACTGAAGCTTAGACTTAAAAAAAAATATTAATCGCAATATCTGTCAGAAAAATCGCAATTAGATATTTCTCTCCCAAATCGTTCGCACAGCCTCCCCGCCGGCAACCCGGTGGCGAATCCCGCAGTCGTGGCGAATATAAAATAACAAGACATTGTAGACATCATCACAATATCGTGCCGATAAGAACCTCTATACCACGTCTGGTAGTTGAGCCAGCATTGCTTCAAGCAAAGCCCGACTGCTGATTATGATGATGATAGCAGCGATGAGACGCTGGATGTTGAAACCGTTCCAGTTGTTTTGCTCGTCTTGAATCAATGCTGCTGGAACTGATGCACTCCCTTTAGACCGCGCAAAACCGGCTGATGGGGGTGTGTAAGAAATACTTGGACTTTACCGAAAGAACCAAATAGTGTGGATCACTGCAGTCACGGAAACTTCAAATCTAGGGGTGGTATTTTCCTACGCGAAGAGACGGATGTGTGGAGGAAGAGACATTGCTGATGCACGTCAATATTGACGGTGGTCACTCGTTCAAGCACTATCCAAGCCTCAACTCTGCTGAGCTTCTGAGGTCGGGCGACTTGGTGATGGGCCACACTGCGTTACAATATATATGCCCTGTCTTGCCAAGTTGCACGTTCTGGCTGCCAACATAACAATGCAGTCCACTAACCGTAATGGCAATGTACCCCGATCATTATGACATCGTGAATTATTCAGCGGTTCAATAATTTTAGTGTTGCCTTTAGGTTTTTTTTCAACAGTTGTACAATTTCATATTCTTGGTTCTTTCGGTAAAGTCACGTAGAAGGGAAATAATATATTGTGTTTTTATTTTTTATTATTATTTTATTATTTCCCTTCTACGGGACTTTACCGAAAGAACCAAGAATATGAATCCCTGCAGTCACGAAAGCTTTAAATCGAAATTTAGTTGTACAATTGTTTATCTGTAGAGTACGTGTTTACATCATAAAAGAGACGCATATGCCGTATTCTCATTGGGCCCTTAGCTGCTAACAGAGATGATCTGTGTTATTCTTTGGGTCTTTTGGTAAAGTCACGTAGATAGGTTCAAAGAAAATAACAACTCCGACGTTTTGATCGCAACACAAGCGTTCGTCATCAGTTTTTTCGATATTTTTTGTTATTTTAACCTATCTACGTGACTTTACCGAAAGACACAATATGAATTCCTAGCAGTCACGAAAGTTTTAAGTCAAGATGGTCTGTGTTAGTTTGAGATTCTAGGTAATACAGTGCCATATACAGATTCCATTGGGAGTCAGTCTCTCAAAGGCTTTGTAAATCTGTGCCTTGTTTCCGTAATTAAACTCAACAAGGTGTCTGGGCTCTTTCCTGGTCATTAAATGTAAAGGTCATACAGTATATATTTAAATGTTTAAAGCATATATGGTTCTTCAAATGTTTGCGTTTGGGTTTATGTAGGGTTCATAAGATAGGGTACCGTTTGCATTATAAAACTGGTTTGAGGTCCAACGCAATGCTTATTATTGAATATGACCCGCGTATACCGAGCCTCGCCTATAGCAAGCTGTGGGGCGATATAAATAGGGCCACTGCCCGGTGGGATCACAGCATCGTGCTCGCCAGAGGCAGTGACCGACACGAATGTGATCAAGTATGTGCCCAAAAAACAAAAGGCTTTGTTTTAATATCAAAAAGCAGCATTTATCAAATGTCTTTTGTATATTCAGTTTAATCTCACTAAGCCTCAAGACTTATTTTCAAGTGGGTTGAGACGTTTGACTGTGTCCATCAAAGAGCATTTTGTTTATCGTGCCACGTGCCCTTTGGTGGTGTGAGCCCACTTTGTGTGTACAGGCGGTGACGGGCAGTTGCATAAGGAACCGAGCCGTTCGCACCGGGGGCCTTAACCGACGCACTACGCCGCAGGTTTTGCCATTGCCCAGTGGGCCATCGGCGTGGCCTTCACCCACCGAGGGCCATCCCCGTCTCGTCTGCTCGCTTCGAGCCATGGCCTACGGCGGGAACACCACGCAGGCCCAGCACGGCGCCGTGGCCACGTGGGCTCCCGCCGTCCCCGGCGGCAACGGTACCGCCCCGGGCCCTGCGCTCCTCCTGTGCCCCAACGCGTCGGCGGGCTCCCAGTGGTTGTGGCACGTGCTCGGGGAGTGCCCTGACGGGAGCCGGGACCACGCGAGCGTGGCGTTCGCGCTCCTGTCCATCGTCTGCTTCCTGCTGGCCACGCTGCCGTGAGTCCGGGGCCCGTCGTGCGCGGTTAGGGGTGGACTCGGCTGCGTGTTTTTTGCTGCCGCTGGCCACGTGTGGGTGTTGAGGGGAACGTCGCGGTGGCTCATCCAGCGGTGACGGCCTCCATGAGACTGTCGCTTCGGCAGTTTGTGAGGCAAATATAAACATTCATAATGGCGGAAAATCCAGTAATGCAATGTCCACTAGCTGCATGCCAAAGTGATCTGCCACTCGATCTCCCCTTCGGTGTTATCCTTAACACTGAATACGTTTTAACCATATTGCGGTGTACGCAACTACATATTGGTAATCGTAAAGTACTTGAAAGAACATCGGTGGCTGACTTTTGAAACACAGCCAACATCGATGTGCAAGCGAGCAGCCCGAACGCACCTGGGCGCGTCAAGACGTGACGACGCGGAACGCTTCCACAAAATCTGGAACCACATTTTAGAGGTTGCTTCCACTCTTTTGTGAAAGATGGCGATTGGCAACTAGCTGCAGCGTGGGGTAAAGGTGCTCCGTTCGCCTGATGAGAGCTCAACGAGATCGATAAATAATTATTATCCCCTCGGCTGACCGGCATTGGGCATGGCCACCCAGATCACCGTTTCATAAGAGAGTGGATGTCTCCAAGGGGTCTGGCCTGCTGGAATTATATCACTACTACTGCTGCGACTGCATTGCTTTGTTGAGCATGCAGCTCTCTGGCATGTCATGCCGTGACTGCCGTCCGTGTCGCGCGTTGTTTGGCACGGTGCGAGCAGGCAGCTGTACGAGTCGTACCGCTCTGGCAAAGCTGACCAGGCCCTCTCCATCTGGTTTCTGCTCTCTTGGCTGGGAGGCGACTGCTCCAACCTCATTGGCTGCATCCTGACAAATCAGCCGCACCTACAGGTACAGCCTCGGCCTCACCTGCAGCTCTTCCCACGACCTTGTGGGCTGACAAACGCATGTGTGCGTGCACGTGTTGTGTGTGTGAGCGTTGGTCGGGCTTGTGCAGGATGTACACTGATGTTGTGTTAAACGTCAATGCATCGGTACGTGTGTACGGTCCCCGTGAGAATCAAGTTAACCCGTGGTGCTGCTGGCTCGATGGAGAAGCAGGCTCGGCTCGAGCTCCCCTCTGATGAGTGGGGGGGCACTAGTGCTGTTGTGTGGGGGATCACCATCGCAGTGACATGAACCTTGCACTGGCAATGTGGGTAAACCTGTTCATTCTAGATTTGAAGTTTTCGTGACTCATCTATATAACCCCCTGTTATTAGCGGCTCTTTTGCCTACTTCAGCAACAGTTTTTGCTGTGGTTGTCCCACCTGATGACGGACGCTTGTGTTGTGTCCGAAACGTGATTTCATTTATTTTTATTTTCTTTACCTACGTGACTTTACCGAAAGAACCAAAGAGTATAAACCTGTTCATGTTGCGCTGCTAACGCGTGTGTTTTCTGTGCCGCGCTCACACTCAGACGTTAATGGCCGTGGACTACGTGATGATGGACAACTTGGTGATGTCCCAGTACCTCTACTACCGATTGAGAAATCGGAATGGTGGTGAGGGAGCAGTGTGCTGCTTTTGTTATCCATTCAAGCATGGGTGTCTGCGGACGATACAAGCACAGAGAGATGGAGTTGCACACGAAGTGCTGCAACGATTGATCGATTAAAGCAACGTGTTGCTCATTGACTGATTTTATTGGCAGCTGTTTTGAATTGGGTGACTCCAGGAATCCATCCTCCCAATAACAGGAAAGCTCGCCAGCGTGGCACGGTGATGATGATCGATGATGGTGAGAATGTCATCAATCCCTGCCCATCTTCACCTTGGTAGGCTTATGGTATTGTTATAGTTTCAACTGCATATATTTTGTTGCCTAGTTATGTTTTTACAATTCATAAAACAATCTATACCGTTGGCGGTGTGATAGGTTATTGCAGTTTGGGGCCGAGATTCGATGCAGGAGTTGATTCTGTTGTTTAGATTGTTAGCTGCACGAGCATTAGCATCTAATTCGTATAGCTAACAGCTAATCGCTTCCCACCTGCACAAGTTGATGCCTGTACCGTGAGTGTTCTTCCAGTGAGTCAAAGAACCAAAGGGCCTTTGCGCGCCTAGCGATCGGAGGGAGGCGACGCCGCTGTTGTGTTCGCCGCGTGTGCCCTGCAGATGCCGGCTGTCTGCAGTGGTCGTGCGTATGCTGGATGCTGGCCTGTACCCTCCTAGCAGTGCTGCTGCCTTCGCTCCTCTTCTGGCACCATCCCATGCTGGTGGCCCCTGCCCTTGGGACCAACTCCTCCCTCGCTCTTGCCCACGCTAGCGTGAGTTACGAGCGTTTTTGCACTGTGCCGCTGTTGATTTTGCAAGTTTGTTGGGAGTGCCCCTTTATCTGTTTATTTCATGGCACTGTAACCTTCCTGCCCATTTGGGCAGCTTTGACCGTGAAGTGGAATCTAGACCAGACGTGGCAACAGCACTAATGTTTATAGATAACCTCTGTGGCCAGAGTGCTTCGATTAATAAAGTTTGTTTAAACCGGGGGAAAACCCAAAGAGAACAAGTACAGTCTCATTTGCGAGAGTGGTCTGTGCAGTCGTCTGCTGCCAGTCGGGGGCGATGATTGCTATGTAAAATCCCTACTGAGTAATTTGTAGATCATTTCGAATTTGGATCCCGCTGACACCGGCACACGATGGCCTTACTCTTGTGAATGATGCCAGGGAATCTTTAACGGCCACTGTAAAGTGGATGGCACGTAGCGTTGTTATTATTATTAGACTCCCACAAATATGGTGGCTGCTGGATTCAAACCGCAAACCTCTGCAAAAAGCGGCAAACGCGCTACCGCTGGGCCGCATCACCGCCCAGTGACATAGGCGGTGTTAATCGATAAACGGCTGGCCCAGAAAACGTTAAACGTAGCCAGTGGCTGTGCCCGTGCAGAAGCTGCCTTCGTTGGGATGGATGGAGCTGATCGGCTACACTTCCGGCTCAGCCTCTGCCGCCTTCTACCTAGGAGGGAGGCTGCCACAGCTCTACCACAACGTGAGTCGGTGCCGCTGGTGCCTCTCGACACAAACGAGCTCACGCTTGGCTCTCCGGTACGTGGTTGGCTTGCGCCACGCCTCGTTCGGCATGATGTCGAGCCTTTTTCTGCACGTGCTGGGAGCCTCTTTAGGAACTGACCTGTTGAGGATATAATGGAGCAACTGACATGTCTATATATATATACACACTGCATTATTCAAGAACTGAATGCAAGTTGTCGAAGTATCGTCCGCCATGCGGAGTAAAAAGTTGGACGTCATGCCCAGCAACACGCGGTACAACCTGAGAGCACGCTGGGAGGCCATAAGGCTCAACCACGAAAACCCACGCTCAAGGAAAGGTTTTCTGCCAACTTGCTTGAGGGTATTTGGCAGCGGCCGACCCAGATAGCGCCCATGAGAGTTGGTGGAATAATAGATCCTTTGAGAGCGCCTACCGAGGCTTGCGCTGCACGTGTGGTGTAAGATGCGCTGCCTCTCCTCTGCTACAGTACAAGCGGCACTCGGTGGAGGGAGTCTCGCTGGCGCTCTTCATGCTCACAATTCTGGGGAACAGCACGTACGGCACGAGTTTGGTGCTGAAGGCCCCCAGACCGGGCGAAACCGAGGGCCAGGCTATCGTCGCTCACCTGCCCTGGCTCATCGGCAGCTTCGGAACTCTGCTGCTTGACTCCTCTGTATCCTTGACTCACGGCGTTGTTTCGAGCACATGGCCATTGGCAGCTCAATGGGCAGTTGTTGTATCAAGACTATGCAATAGATATCAACACAGATCCAAGCCGAACTGAATATTATTACAGGGTTTGACCTAAGCCAGATTTCCATTTTGGAAACCGTCACGGGTGTTTTTTAGGTAAACAAGGTAAGGGTGCAGTCCTCGTGCCAAGGCTGACACAAGAGCCTCCACTCGAGGACGCCCTGGAGAATCCATTTTTAGAATATTTGACCTACTCTTCATACACTGGCCAGGCACCTCGGAAAGAGATGGAAGCACTCACAGCCACAGTTTACCCCGCCACATGTAACCTGCCAATCGATAAACAGTGGTGTATTCATTTATCTACTGCTGGTTGGATAGAGGTGGGGGGGGGGAGGATTTAAGAAACGTGTCTTGTTTTAAAACTACCATGCCGGGAGATGAAATTGAACCCGCGACCTTTGAATTGCAAGTCCGGTGTGCTCATGATTACACCGCAGGGGCACACCCAAATTCTTTACTTTATAGGTATTCATAAAGCACGTCTTGGGGATTTTGGAATTGACGTGTAAATGTTTACCGGGCTGGCCCCTTAACCCCCGAGGGTTCAGATGGTAGCTCAGTTTGTGCTATACAGACGCCACGGTGGCCGCCCTGCCGGAGAGGAATCCATGCGGCTGGACGAGAGGGAAGAGGCCCCGTTGCTCACCGGCTGGGGGGATGAGTGACATCGCGCGTGACCAGAGGTCACTGCCGTGACCAGAGGTCACTGCCGTGGCCCCAGATTCATTGCCGTGACCCCGCGATCCTGGAAGCGTTTGACCGAAGTTTCCTGGGCTTGACACGGCCGCGAGGGTGGCCACATTTTTACGATGGTTTTTTTTTTACCATCAAGCGAGTGTGAGAATCTGCAGTGTGCTGCTGTTACATTCCTCTCAGTCATTCCAGGTTCCTCCTGCTTGCGGGTCCGCCCATGGTATTTACCCATCACCGCTTGTCTTAAATGTCAGTTGTGTCTCACCACGGTGGCCTTCTTACTGTAGCGATGTTAAAAAGCAATATTTAGTGATAGCCCGTAACCTGATTGTGACGTGATCTTGAAAACTATACTGAGCCATACGTTATACAATATTGCGTCAGCCATAATACCTTACAATATGCCTCTGAATCTCCAGTGGGAGACAGGGTTTGTCTGCACGTCCTCCTGCTCTCTGTCTCAGGTTTCCACTGCAAGATAACAACACACGTCTCTCGCCCCTTACAGCTTAGCGACCTGGGTGGCGGCTTAAATTTCCCACCCTTTATAAGGGCCCGGCATGCCTCGGGGCACTACTAGATTGTTGCTTGTTTTTTCTATTGAATCAAACTTTAGCAAGTGGATTAACACACGGAGGTTACTTCGTTTACATGACATTGAATCTGTCTTCCGTTGGATCGAACTTGTTTTACATTTTGGCTTGTAAACTCTTGTGCAATAATTTCCGAGTTGGAGACACGGGTTTGAGTGGACATTGAGTGTATCGTTATTTAATAGTGCTCGTGTATGCGCGCTCGTAAGGCTGAAATAAAGGCGTCTGGTGCTGCCATTCTCGTGACTGCTGTGCGATTTGCAGGACGCGTCCAGGACTCGAACTCCCGTAGGGAACTGCGATTCGTACTGTATACAATACCTAAAGCGATTTATATTTCCCTGGATTCGAAATTGAATGAAGTGTTCGTGAACCAGATGTCAGGCATCTGGTCTCGGGTGTCGCCGAGTGTCTGAATGACGGCTCGCGTTGTACGCGCTCAGCCGAAGGGCGTCAAGCGAACGAGGAGGAGAAAATTACTCGCAACGAAGTCCGACAATGACTCTTTACACAATTACATCGTGAGAGGGGCGGGGTGCAAGGGGGGGGGGTGAATGGGGCGGGGTTAGGGGGGAGGGGGCGAAAGGGGGGAGGGGGCGAAGGGGGGAGGAGAAGGGGGGGGGCGGGGAGGGGGCGAAGAGGGGGGGGCGAAGGGGAGGGGGCGAAAGGGGGGAGGGGGCGAAGGGGCGGGGAGGGGGGGGGGCGGGGAGGGGGCGAAGGGGGGGAGAAGGGTGGGGGGCGAAGGGGAGGGGGCGAAGGGGGGAAGGCGGGGAGGGGGAGGCGAAGGGGGGGGGGGGGGCGAAGGGGGGGGGAGGGGCTCCACGCGAGCCATCACGTGACGTGGCGTTGCTAGGAGACGATCCCGCGACGCCGCGATGGCGGCGGGCTCCGTGTACCCGGACCCCGCGGGACTGGACCCCGCTGTCGTGGACCCCGTGTGGCTGTGGCGATGCAAGCGGCGCGTCCAGGACACGAAGGTGCGAAGCGTGCGGGCGGGCGGAGCCGGGACAGCGGCTCGTGGCGCTCGAGTTTGGGATCGGAGCCTCACCTGTGTGCCCGTGTCCGGCGTCTCGTGCCTCACCTAGCCCCGTGCCTCACCTAGCCCCGTGCCTCACCTAGCCCCGTGCCCCACCTAGCCCCGTGCCCCACCTAGCCCCGTGCCTCACCTAGCCCCGTGCCTCACCTAGCCCCGTGCCTCACCTAGCCCCGTGCCTCACCTAGCCCCGTGCCCCACCTAGCCCCGTGCCCCACCTAGCCCCGTGCCCCACCTAGCCCCGTGCCCCACCTAGCCCCGTGCCCCACCTAGCCCCGTGCCTCACCTAGCCCCGTGCCCCACCTAGCCCCGTGCCCCACCTAGCCCCGTGCCCCACCTAGCCCCCTGCCCCACCTAGCCCCGTGCCTCACCTAGCCCCGTGCTCCTGGAGTCGTCCCACGTTTCACCTGCCGTGTCCGTGTTTTACCTGAGACCCGTGTCTCACGCGTGTCTCGTCTCTCTGCCGGACCCCGTCTCATAAGCTCCTTGTTCCCCCATACCACGGATCGGATCCCGAGATGGAGTGCGGGATGAGGTCTTTCGCTGGGGCCACGTTTAGGGGACAATACTGCACTCGAGGCTTGGCACAACCTCTCGGTACCCCCCACGTCTCCCCCGGCCACTTCATTCTCCGCGAACTCTAGGTCGTCTCACCTGTACCCCATGGATCCCAGGGTCCCCTGGGTCGCCTCATACACCCCCAAGATCCACGTGTCCGCCTTGTCCCCTGTATAACCCCGGGTCCACGTGCCCCTGCCGCCAGGAGTGGACGGCCTTCGCGGAGCAGCTGTCCCGCGGCGTGCAGTTGCAGCTGTCCGAGGGCCGCGTTGCGTCGCTGGGAGATCTCTCGGAGGCCGAGAAGTCGCTGCTCGTCGAGCGGGCGATGTCGTCGCTCCAGGGAGGTTGGTGTTTCCCCCCCATCGCTCTTGAGCTCTCCCTCTCTCTCTCTCTGTATTTGGGATTTCTGTCCACGCGTGGAATTCTGCTCTCCACAGGAGCCACGAGTGTGTTTAGCAATCGTGGCTTGAGCAAGCTACAAATTCCTTCTCGGATTTTCCACTTTCAGATGGATCAATTTGTTGATTGGAATGAAAAGGCAATGTTATGATGATGTGCCAGTGCTGGGCTCCGACCATAACATTTCTCCTAGGAAAGTACAAGGGCTATGACTGGTAGAGAAAGCACGGATACGTTTACTGCCATTGCAATCCAATTACTCATTCTGCCTGCACACTTCACCTGAGACTGAAAACTTCAGCCGGAGTTTGTAGCTCCCCGCGCTTCCACCGGTGTTTACAGATATGTACGGTAGTGAGGCGCGTGGCTTTTCCCGCAAGAGTTAATTCTGCACTGAAGATGCCATTGTTATAGAGTATCGCGTTACTCTGTGCCGATTCCTCGCATTGTTTTACACCTCCGTATCGTTGCGCCCAGGAGACGTGTACAAGTCCGTTGTGGCCAAAGTGGCCTCCAGCTTGGACGAGCAGTTGGTGCAGCAGGTGGCCGTGGAGGTGGCTGACGATCGCGTGCGTCCCAGGAGCAGGGTCCAGGTGGTGCAGGAACTTCTCAAGAGTGGACTGGTGGGCACTGCTGCGGTCAGCGCACTACTGTTGTTTCATGTGACAGGCCTGTGGACAATGGAGACAAGTCAGTGCAGGCTGGTCAGGATAGAGAAGCTGTAGAGGTGGCTGTGATGGCTCAGGATATCAAATTTTAATCTGAGAATTCAAGAGACCAGGATAGAGTATAATTTGTGAGCGTGACCTGGGTCACCACAATGACAAAAGCTAAATACATCAAACAAAGTACAGCAATGAAGCAAAAAGAAATGGGGCATTGGCCTGCACTACTAAAATCCTGGGTTTGCTTTGGGATTTCAGCCACCTGTGATTAGACTGGGTTCTCAAGGTTAGATGTTTTATGGTCTCAGTCTGGTCACCAAGGACTGCACAAAATAATTATGGTATTAAATTAGTGTTTTCACTTAATCTGGGAATAAATTCCAGCTCTGATCATTGTAAAATATTTAGTTTTTTTCTATGTGCTGAACATTTATCCTTAGCAGCAGGATCTGTAGGAAAGTGCGATGTCCCTGCGTGTGGAGATAAATAATATTTTGAAGGGTCTCAGAAGCATTTCTGTGATATCTCCTTCTGCATGCTGTTCTCGAACACAGGATGATGCAATTCTATTAGAAAATGGTACAAATTAAATAATAATAATAAGGGTAGAGGACCTGAATTTTGGGCTCACCATAACATTCATCGGCATGCTTCTATGTGTAAGGATGGGTACAAACTCCCCCCTATTGCCTTCTGTTGTATTTTAAACTTGTGCACATTTGTCACTGTGATGTTGTGACAGGTCAGCATTCTCCACAAATGGCCAGAGTTGAGATCCAAGCTCGGCGTGCTGTTTAACCACCCCCTGCCGTCTGGGATTCGAGAGCCAGTGTGGCACCTGTACCTCGCCAACGCTCGCGGTGAGATTCGCGATGCCCTGCAATTACCCAGGAAAGGTTTACGGAGTCTCAAGACTTTTATTCAGAAGGGTCGTGCACTGGAGTGTTTGGCAGATTCCATTAATGAGCGTTTTGCATGTGGAAGAAGAAGGGATTGTCCCAAGGAAACCCACGCATGCAACGTGATGCTATTCAAAGGCCCGCACGGATTGATTCAAGAATTGTCTTGCTGTACTGCCATCATATTCAGCTCCAGTGGCTTACTGTGATGGGGTAGGAAGGCCTCCCCAAGCCATCGCCATCTCAACCATCCCTGCGATTTACCAATCTCCCCAAGCACCTGCATACCATCTGATTGTCTACCCAGCTGGTCACGAGTGCAGATGAAACGAGGATCTTTGTCATAGTTGGTCGCCTGCTGCTGTCTTGCAGAGAGGACCGACTTCCTCGCACGGTTCACCGGCGACCCAGCGAGCGTGCAGTCGACGCAGGATGCGGAGATTTTCCTGCGCTGCGAGTCTCTCCTCTTCTCGGAGCCCACGTTCCGGCAGCTGGCATCCAGCAAAGGTGAAGACGCTTTGTCTGCCGCAGCTGCTGTGCTGCGTTTACCATTGAGGCGCATCACAGCACCACAAGTGTCGGTGTGCTCCTCCTTTTAACCATTCACACAGTGACTGCGAATTCCTTACATCCTGGAAATTAAAGGTCTGTTTTAAACAGCATGTTACTAAGTGTTACATAAGTTCTCATCCAGTATTGCGTGATATGTAAAACCTCTATATATGAGCTACTTCTCTCGTTGGAAAAGAGATTGTTTTTTCTCCAAAGTTAATTAAAGAAATTAAGTAGGGTTTTTTTTAATGAGTGTGTATTATTTCTTTTCATATATGGATCATAATCATGGACATTGATGAGGACAATTAAACAACTGAAATCTGTGCAATAAGTGTGGAGAGACGCACGCTTAGGTTTACATTGAGAAACAGAAAGAGGAACAAGTCTTGTATTAGAGGATATATGTTTACCATTTATCGACGATATATTGGCTTTTAAGACAAGTGGGCTTGGACACGACATGTCGCTGGAAGGGATGTCCACCTCAGAGATGGAGTGATTAAGAATTAGCTCATGTGCATGCACTAGATGGATTGTTACATCACAGGACCATGAGAGAATGTGATCTTGGAGAGGCCTTCATTAAGGAGTGGATTGCGCGTGACTGATGATGATTTATTTAGAGTTGCATCACTCACTGCCACCCATTTTCCACACAGCCACCGCGAGGACGATGCGCAGCGTGCTGTCGTACTACCACACGCGCAAGCGCCCGCCTGGTGTGCTCCTCGACTCCGAGTATCTGCTGGTGGTGCCGCTGGTGAGGGTGCGGTTAGGCAGGGGAGCTCGCGTGGAGCCACAGATGTCCGTCATGGCTCACCTGATGGAGGAGTTCCTCACTTTCATGGAGTCCCGGCCGGCATACATGACCTCGTCCTGGACTAAGGTATCGGTACCAACGGGTTGGCCGTCAGCACCACGGTGATGAGGTCACGTCTCGGTCTCGGGTATTGGGGTCTCGCCGAGTGAGCAATGTCTGTCTCTCGTAGGGCACGGAGCACGGAGAGGCCGAACCGATGCTGCAGCAGATTGCGTCCACGCTGGTGAACATCGACAAGGACCTGGCCGTGGCTGTGCAGAAGGCGTTCGGACAGGCAGGTCTGCAACTTCTCAAGCGGCTCGGGTTTACACTTTGGCATAGCATATTTGAGAGCACTTGTCATCTGCTTCACAGTGGATGTTAAAGATCAAATGATGTTATTTGCAAGAGTGTGCCAGTGTTAGGGCCCAAATTTCGCAATATTAGAAAAATTACCGTGAATTACTCAATTGAAATTATACAGAGCAATAATTTCCCCCATGCTGGCAGACTAATGTCCCAGGTCACTCTTGCAATTGAGACTCATCCTGGTCTCTTGAGCTTTCACCTTGCTAAACAAAATAAACTTTATACTTGAACATTCACATTCATTTTAGTAGCATTTGCAGGGCAGCATGCAAGTAGCTTTATCTTTGCCGGTACTGTTGTTAAGAATTGTATTTATTTCTTGCCTGCTGTGGGTTTCTGTTGTGTTCTGCCAGGAGAAATTCCAAAGGAAGCTGTGATGATTGGCCTGGTGGCGTTGCTGCAACCCGTGGTTAGGGTCCTATTTGTGGGTGGGTATGCACTCACAGCAATCATCATTTGGTTGGAGCATTAAGAGTTTCACTAAATCCAGCGTTCACTTTTCATCTGAGTTTTCCAGCATTCGCTTCAAGGGTGCTATGTCATGTTTTCAATGCGCTGGTTCGCATTGTTTAGCATGGTTGGCACTTCCGATTAGCACGTATTGTGCGAAAGATGTTCAGCATAAATACATAAATTGTTGAATATTGGTTTTCAAGATGCAATCCTCTGGAGCAACCAGTCATAATTTGTTTCTCTTGTCCACTGATTGTGTGAAAGCCATTGTGAGCTAGGGAAATATTCGGCCAATCATTGGTGGCAGTTGTCACCACGAGTGATCTGACTAATAGCAACTATGGGAACTTGATAAGGCTGTGGTTTAGAGTGACAGAGTTCTGTATAGATAATAAAATCAGAGTTTGTTGAAAAATGTGTTTATGATTCGACAGACTCTACCTTTTGGATAGTCATGTGACCTCTCTGTGTGATTCTGATGGGAAGTTTGCACCTCCATTGAACACTCTGGAGAGCAAGCATAAGATCTGTCCAGTTTTGGCCAAATTATTGTGTTACAATATGGAATATGACAACCAATGCCAGTAGTGATTGCCCTAAAGATTCCCAAATGCATTATGGCTTGGAGGACTTGCTGCTGTGTAGCCTTGGGGTTTGATGGCAGAGTAGGAGTGTGTTGTAAGAGGGTCACGGTACGAACGCGCACACATGCTGTGGGATGCGTGTGGTACGTGACGCGTACATGACGGGGCGTGACGTGAGCCAGGCTTCCTGCAGCTGGAGGTGCTGCTCTATGTGTGGGACCAGTACATCCTGGGCCTAGAGCAGCCAGCCTACGACTGCCTACCGGCCTTTTGCCTGTGCCTCCTGCTGCTGCTACGCGACCAGCTGTTGACTTGCGACAACGTGAGTGCAAAGCAAACTCGCACCGCTAACAAACCCAGCGGCCTTCAGGCAAGCGGGGGCGGACGCCTGCGATTCAGGATCGAGCGCGGAGCCCCGTGTGAGCACCGTCCCCCTCGCTGCGGACGTGTGCGTGTGTACGTCCTGTGCTCTAGCCCAGCCGCATGATGGACACGCTGCGTACTAACGGTCCCAGCCTCACCGTCCACGACTTCCAGGTCACCATCGTCAAGCACTTCTACGACCAGCTGTCTCGAGACCTCAACAAGTGGAACGTCGATGAGCTGCTGGAGCTCGACCCCGCATACTGTGAGCGTCACTCCACATCCACGCACTCATGCACGCACGCACTCACGCATGCTAGGAGGTACGCATCCACAGCAGGCACCGTCTGCTGATGCAGTGACCGTTGTGTGTTTGAACTCTGAAGCTGTGTCTGCGAGGTGTCTAATGATTCACTGAATTGTCAAGATTCGATTTGAATCAAGACTCGTTCAGTCTTTACCTCGTTTTCATCCTGCCATTTTTATTGTTGTATTATTCTTGTTTTTGTCATTCGCGCACTTTTATTTACTGTATTAGTGTAATTCTAAGGCGGGCAATCGTTTGCAACATTTGTGTATGATCAATTTGTATGTGCATAAATCGATACACATGTCATGAGCGACAAGCGAGTCTAATCTAATGATGCAGCATTACATGCCTGTTCTCTACACTTTGGCCTCATCTAAGCTCTTCCAATGAAAAAAAAATGATCTCAGACCACAAATATTCAGCAATACGCATTATTTATGTTTTTAAAATCATAGCCACTTATCACACGTGTAGAAACTGTTCCACAGAGAATTGAACAAGGGTCACATTCGATACTAACCAAGTACAATAGCCATGTGCTTTCAGAATAACAGCTCCACCGAGACTGTGGGATAAATAAAGATTCTGATTCTCTAGTAAAATAACCAATCCTGTTTTCTATGCAGCCATGGACGTCCCTTCGCTGTGGATGCGGCTGGCTGCCGTGGAGCCCTTGACGGAGCAAGCAGACGCAACGCACAAGGCCAGGTAGCAACGCCCACTGCGGGGGGAGCTTTTGCCGATAAATGTTGCGTGACTTTCAAATGTTGATACCCCACAACGCTGTGGGGCTCGATGGTACCAAGTAATGTGGCAGCGTTGTGAGTCTATCGGGCAGCACCTTCCAAGCTGATCGGCTGATGGAATTAAACATAATTAATTTGCCTGTGGAGATAGAGGTCTCCTTACACGAATATCAGGGGCAAGTGCACACATAACTCATTCTTAAGAGCCATTCGGCTGTGTAGGTTGAGTTGAATTATAATTGGACAGGAAACCCCTGTGTTGTTGCCCATGTTGTTGCTGCAGGCATCCGCTTGGAGCCGAGCGAGTTGAGTGGCAGGCGGAGCGGTTGCCCGGTGACTGGAGGAGAGGCGACCTCAGGGACCGCAACAGGAGATCAGGGTTAAGGTCAGAGTGTAGGCGACTTGTTGTTAATCGCCGTGTAGCGATTGCCTCTTAACTGTGAGCTGGGGAGACCGTTGTGTCTCTGTTCACACAAACACGTTGGGGGCCTGTGTGTCAGGCATGAGGACGGGAGGGTGCAGAGGCTGATGGAGGACAGTCAGAGGATGGAGTGGGAGCAGAGGCAGAGCCTGGAGGAGCAGCTGGCACAGGTGGGGCAGCACGTCACTACCCACGGTCGCGTCTCCACTACTGTAGACCCACGCATATGGATTGTACCAGAGTGCAGAATAATAATAATAATAAACAATAATGCCCATTATATCCCCATGAAAAACTCGCTGAGGCTCGTTTTCATGAGGGCCCTGCGATTGGGATGTTTGGCTAATTGTATTGAATGTTGGGCTTGCGAAAAACCGGAGTGCACGGCGAACGCCCACGCGTATGAGGGGGAAACACTTAAAAGTGCCACACAGATTCAGTCCGCGGATTTAACTCATGGAATATGCAGGGTGACCCACTACTGTGCTTCCATCTCCTGGCCACCACACAGCCCCAAGCCGACAACACCTGGTAATCACTGGTCATCACTCTTACAAGTACTGACCAGGCTCAACTGTGCTTAGCTTGAGATTCAGTGAGATTGAGCACATTCATAATTATTTGGTGATATATGGTTCAACATTTAAGATTTTGTCATGGTCCTCACAGCCAGGCCAATGGAATCTCAGGCTGTGATTCGTTGTAAAGTGCGGTTAAATGCAGCGCTGTGTGGTCATCTTGACAGGAGCGATATGCTCGCTACAAGATGCTACGGGAGGCCGAGGAGCAGATGGGACGTCTTCGTGGGGAGATGGAGCGGCTGCAGCGCCGGCAGGTGAGGCCTGCGGGACATGGTGCTGTAGTAAGAGAAACACTCCTGGGTCTGATAAATAGCGCCAACGCTATACCTAATATCACCCCTATCCCCACACTCGTGCTGCCATATGTGGTTACGTCCACACACTTAACGGCACCTCCTGGCACCACAAACCAGTTGTGATTGGCAGCGGCAGTATTTTTGAGAGCAGCTGTGTGTTATCATCACGATGCCAGGCCCCATTGTTCTTGACAGCTTAACACGTGCGGTTGTGAAGCGGCCACCGTGAGAGTTTGCCCACTAAGCGGTGTTTCCCCTCTCTCTGACAGCCTCTGAGCGGCTACTACCCCGACAGGTAAGGAACGCTTCGCACTCACAGGAATCGTCTGGACTTGTTGTTAGTCTACGGCTGCTCGTGGCAATCCGGTGACTTTGCTGTTTGACCTTTGCCAGGTCTCTCCCGCCGTCGCTGCCCCCGTGGGGGAGCGCGGGACCGGACCACTTCCCACGCGGTAAGTGGCTGTGACGTTGCCGTGGTCGCGTGTTATTCCGCGTGTCCGTGGAGCCCGGCCACACCACTGTTGTTCTACCACAGTGGCCAACGGCTGGAGCGGGAGTGACAGGACGGCGTTGCCCCGGCTGCCCCAGAACTCCCACGGCACGGCCACCCAGGTGAGGAGCGGATGGACGTGCACCACGAGTTGATATTTTTTAGATGAATCGTACACTTGTTTTGTTATATTACTGGGCTTGCGATGCAGCTACCGCAGTCCCAGCTGTTGGGCGTGAGTGGAGCTGGCGCGAGCGTCGCGTTGTGCCGAGCGTGACACCATCTCCTGCCTCCCCGCTACAGTGGCACACGGCAACAGACAGGAGGCTGGACACGCCGGCAGAGGGAGACCCCGAGAGCCAGCCCGGGGCAGCCACAAGGACCCGGCACGGGCATGACAAGCGAGGCAACCGCACCGGCACAGCATAGTGAGAGCGCAACACGGTGCTTAGCCACCTCTTTAACCACAAAGCTAACCACGGTTCGAAACACGATTCGCATCACAGCACACCGGGTCCATTTGGAGCCTCCTTATCCCTTCGCTAGGGGTTCTTGGCTTTGATTTGTAACAAGTCATCATGTTTAAAATTGTTAACAACTTTACTTAGCTTTAGCACTTAAATCGGCCCACAGCCTGAGAGCAGGGAGGGGTTTGGATAGTTTCATGACTTGCGCCGAGTGGGGAATCTGTTAAAGCACTCGGCGCTGTCTGCCCTGCCTGCATTCTCAGCGGGAGTCTCGATAACTTCCTGTTTTGAGTTTGGGTTAGAAGTGGGCGGAGGTCTCTACGCACGCCGGACACCACGCTGACCGGGGTAATGCCCGGACGCCTCGCTCTGCTTTAACGACCTTGCGGCCCTTACTCAACCGGACACACCTTGCAAGGGACACGTGCGGGTTTCATCTGCTTCATTTTGCTTACATTGTCAGGTTTACGTGCAAGCGTGGTGTGTTCCAGACACACATTTTCACGCATCACACGGCAACGTCAGCAGCGCTGCGCGTGGGATTAAAGCATGGGATTGTGTGCGTGCAGGCTGGAAACAAATACTACTACTACTACCTGGTACAGACTCACCGCGTAATACGAAACAATTCCTTCATTATTTGCACTTTCGCTTCGCAGTAATTAAAAACGCTTCGCTAAACTAAGTAAACATAATATAAAACGCCGAGTATAATAGGGATAGCCTAACAAAATTACGTCGAACAATATGATTCTGTGCATTTTGTGTTGATGCACAGGCGTTTAATTAGAGGGGGCACGTTCACGCGGTGTCGCAGAGGCGTGAAGTCGCGCTGCGGCGTGACTTCGGCCTCAGGGAAACGGCGCTCTTTCCTCCGCGTCGTGATTAACGCCGGCGCCAGGCGTGGCCAATGGTGGAGACAGGAGACCTGATCCTGCACTCGGTCACACGCGGCCCAGTGTCTCTTCCCCCCCGTCCACCGGCTGGCGGTGCAGCGCGAGGCACCGCCAGCGTCGTCACAGCTGTGCGGGGTCGGTGCGGTTGTCCGTGTTGTGCAGCAGCTGGCTGCTCTTTTCTGTCATGTTGAGCTTGGTGTTGGGGATTCCCGTGCGGTTTCCATTCAGCTGTAAATACAAACGTGCAGCCACACGCTAGCCAAATTATCCTCGTGAAATGTGGGGCCAATCGCTGTCAAGGCCAGCAACGCGTCTAGATGACTAGGGCTCCCCAGTGCTGATCTTGACCACGCTGCACCTCTTCTCACTCGTCCTCTGCCCGATGGCACGTCTTTGGCTCACACTCCCTCCATCCTGTTTGATCTTGAGCTTCTTCATTCACTGTATGACCCCCTCTGCCTTGAAGAATTCCAGCAACATGTTTATATTTCTGCCTTTTGGTCTCTTTCACAACACCCTTCCAGAACGTTCTTCATCAAGTTTTCACATCTGCCTTCCCCACTCTCTTTTGCCATTTCTGGATTGTTCTCATAGGACTGCTCTCCTCCCAAACTTTCTCTAGAACTTTCTCATTCCATATTCTTGGCTCTTTCGGTAAAGTCACGTAGATAGAAAACAAAAATCAAAATTAAAAGCAAAAAACCCACGACGTTTCGATCGCAACACAAGCGGTCTTCTTCAGGTGTTTTGTTTTCTATCTACGTGACTTTACCGAAAGAACCAAGAATATGAAGTCCTGCAGTCACGAAAGTTTTAAGTCTAAATTTCTCATTCCATTTCTCTCCGTCCAACGATGTTCTCTATTCGACGCCAGTCTGGCACACTGCACCATGTGCTCATTTTGGGTTTAAGCGAGGCTAGGCGGGCGCACGTGCACGCGCACACACACATATGCCCCGAGGGGCGGCCCTGGGCGGCCCTGCCTAGCATGGTCTGCAGTGCTGGCCCCCCTCCACAGCTTTGGGGTGCGAGTCACAACGATGCTGGCCTCTTCCTCACCCTGTTAACATGCCCAGTCTCATTCTTTATAAAGTAGACAATGTTTAAATTTATTGTTGTTAGCTACTCATTTAAAATGAAATGGAAAAATGTATAAACATTTCAAGAAAAAAAGCACGTGCGTGCTGTTTGTTGTCTGATAATAATCTGGCACTATCACCGGTTATTGTATAACTCGGAGCAATACGTGTGTACAAACTGAGAGTAATAAACATTCATGGAAAGTTTGAGAGCGTAGTTTATTTATTTTTTCAAGACAACATATTGGTGTTTTCAATCAAGAGAAACCGGATAAACTATCACCCTTGTGTGAAAAGAGACCGACTAACATGTACACGTCTAATCTTCTGGCTGCTGAAGATAGTCGAAGATTTATCGCACTACTACAACAAAATGTTGCAAAGCAACTGAACGGTGGCAATGTTCCAAACCGTGTGCGAGTAAAGGGAAAGGCTTCAGGTGCTACGGCGCTGCGACGGCGCCGCACTCACCACGTCGGAGTTGAGGGGCCGGATCGGCCTCGCCGTGCTGCTGTTCAGCGTCCACACCTTGGTCTTGTGCTTGAAGGCCGCTCGCACCTGGCCGAGACACAGAAACGAACGGTTCCTACTTCACCCCCGCCTCGACGCCTCGTTCCCTGCGCACGGCAAGACTCCAGCGGTGCGTGCGATGCCTCGGGGGGGGGGGGGGGGGGGGGGCTTACCTCGGAGTTGAGCAGGCAGTGGAAGAGGAAGATGAATCCACCCTGTGGAGAGAGAGAGGTCGCAGGTCAATGGCTAGAAATTGGCCGCGCGTGAGCTCGGTATCGAGAGGCCACGTGAGGGACCGGGAGTGTCGGAGAACATCTCCCGGTGGTTAGATGCGCGAGGGGTTCGCAGTGCGAGTACCTGCAGCGAGTTGAAGATGGCGAAGAGGTACTGGAAGAGGACGGTGCTCTCGTTGACGGCGAGCACGCCGAAGAGCCACGAGATGCCGAGGATGGGCAGCAGCACCGCGACAGCCTTCACCGTGAGCCTGGAGACAAGAGGCCCGATTACCCAAGACCCCGCGGCCATGGCCCTCTCCCACATCCTGGCACGCCGTGCCCTCTCCTCCGCCCGCTCACCTGAAGGAGTTGAGGTCGCCGTGCATCCTGTAATTCTCGGCACTGATGCGAGTGATGATTCGCGTCACCGTCACCAGGATCACGATGTTCACCTGCGCCACAAATCACACAGAGACCGCGTCACTGCGAACCTCCGTGACATCGGCGTGCGTCGCGGTATGGATGAAACTCCCCAACGGGGCGAGGATTCCGCACCGGGGGACCGAAAAGTGGCGGCACTCACCGCGATCACGCACAGCGCGGGCGCCACGAAGGCCCAGATGGCGCCGCCCGTGATGGATAACCAGCAGCTGCGGGGTAGAGGAGACAGTGAGGGGCTGCGGGGACAAACCCTCGCCCTGAAGCCAATCAACCACGGTGAAGCTCGGGGCTCAACCACAACAGCGGCACGCAGGCGATGCGCGACGGCACCGCGATGTGCGCTCACTTGCTCTCCTCGCCGTAGCTGCCCAGCGCCGACGACACGGAGACGATGCTGATAATGAGAGGGGCTCCTGCTCCCCGCACACAGCCACGGAGAGAGAGGGACGCGTGCGGTCATCGTGGTCTGCGCGTGGCGAACCGCTCTTGTGCGCGTGCAGACATACGGACGTCGATCTCCCAGTTGGAAATGTTGCTTGTATACCTGCTTCAAGTCAAGTTTTCTACCCAGGGCAGAACTCAAGACACCAGGATCGTCTCATTTGCGAGGGTCAACCGTGTGGCGCACAGGGACAGCTCCTGTTAGGGGATTCCCCGGGCTAAACTCTTGAGATCTTTAGTATCGTTGCAGGCGCGGTATAAACGCGAGTCTCGCCATCGTTGTTGTAAGCTCACCCCAACCGATGCCGTAGTAGAGAGCCTGGCTGCTGTCCTCAGAGCCGAACACCTTGACGACCATGCTGTACAGGTGCAGTCCCTCCACCAGCATCCACGCAAACGCACTCAGGTAGAGGAAGTGCAGCAGCACCGACAGCACCTTGCAGCCCAACTGCGGACGGGGAACGGGGTCACGGTGAGGGGTGACCGTGGAGGGTGCAGTGAGAGGGATCAGGGCAGGGATTAGGATGAGGGATCAAGAGTGTGTGGTCAAGCCGGTTTCAGTGCAGAGCAGGTGTAGGTGCAGGGTGCGGTGCCTCACGGTGCCGGGAGAAAAGTGGCCGCTGATGAGCAGGAAGACCTGCGCCAGCAGAATGGCGAGCGACAGGTTGGCGTGGATGAGGTAACGCTGGTTTCTGATGGTGCTCACTGACCTGTGGGACACCCACAGGCATCGTGTGAAGGCGAATGTGGTGCAGGTGAGTGTGGTGGAGATGATCGTGATGGAGGCGAGTGTGATGGAGGTGTAAAGTAAGTGTGCAAGTGAATGGTGTGAGTGTGGTGGAGATGATCGTGATGGAGGCGAGTGTGATTGGGCGAGTGTGTTTGGGCGAGTGTGTTTGGGCGAGTGTGATTGAGCGTGATGGAGGGGAGTGAGCGTGATGGAGGGGAGTGAGTGTGATGGAGTGAGTGTGATGGAGTGAGCGTGATGGAGGGGAGTGAGCGTGATGGAGGGGAGTGAGTGTGATGGAGGGGAGTGAGTGTGATGGAGGTGAGTGAGTGTGATGGAGGGGAGTGAGCGTGATGGAGGGGAGTGAGTGTGATGGAGGTGAGTGTGATGGAGTGAGTGTGATGGAGAGGAGTGAGTGTGAGGGAGGGGAATGAGCGTGATGGAGGGGAGTGAGCGTGATGGAGGGGAGTGCATGTGATGGAGTGAGTGTGATGGAGAGGAGTGAGTGATGGAGGGGAGTGAGTGTGATGGAGGTGAGTGAGTGTGATGGAGGTGAGTGAGTGTGATGGAGAGGAGTGAGTGATGGAGGGGAGTGAGTGTGATGGAGAGGAGTGAGTGTGATGGAGGTGAGTGAGTGTGATGGAGGTGAGTGAGTGTGATGGAGGTGAGTGAGCGTGATGGAGGTGAGTGAGCGTGATGGAGGTGAGTGAGTGTGATGGAGGAGAGTGAGTGTGATGGAGAGGAGTGACTGTGATGGAGAGGAGTGAGTGTGATGGAGGGGAGTGAGTGTGATGGAGGGGAGTGAGTGTGATGGAGGGGAGTGAGTGTGATGGAGGAGAGTGAGTGTGATGGAGGGGAGTGAGTGTGATGGAGGGGAGTGAGTGTGATGGAGGAGAGTGAGTGTGATGGAGAGGAGTGACTGTGATGGAGAGGAGTGAGTGTGATGGAGGGGAATGAGTGTGATGGAGGTGAGTGAGTGTAATGGAGGGGAGTGAGTGTAATGGAGGGGAGTGAGTGTAATGGAGGGGAGTGAGTGTGATGGAGGAGAGTGAGTGTGATGGAGAGGAGTGACTGTGATGGAGAGGAGTGAGTGTGATGGAGGTGAGTGTGATGGAGTGAGTGTGATGGAGTGAGTGTGATGGAGTGAGTGTGATGGAGTGAGTGTGATGGAGGGGAGTGTGATGGAGGGGAGTGAGTGTGATAGAGGTGAGTGAGTGTGATGGAGGGGAGTGAGTGTGATGGAGCGGAGTGAGTGTGATGGAGGTGAGTGTGATGGAGTGAGTGTGATGGAGGGGAGTGTGATGGAGTGAGTGTGATGGAGTGGAGTGTGATGGAGGGGAGTGTGATGGAGGGGAGTGAGTGTGATAGAGGTGAGTGAGTGTGATGGAGGGGAGTGAGTGTGATGGAGGGGAGTGAGTGTGATGGAGAGGAGTGAGTGTGATGGAGGGGAGTGAGTGTGATGGAGAGGAGTGAGTGTGAGTGTGATGGAGTGAGTGTGATGGAGTGAGTGTGATGGAGGGGAGTGTGATGGAGTGAGTGTGATGGAGTGAGTGTGATGGAGTGAGTGTGATGGAGGGGAGTGTGATGGAGCGGAGTGAGTGTGATGGAGGTGAGTGAGTGTGATGGAGGGGAGTGTGATGGAGGGGAGTGAGTGTGATAGAGGTGAGTGAGTGTGATAGAGGTGAGTGAGTGTGATGGAGGTGAGTGAGTGTGATGGAGGGGAGTGAGTGTGATGGAGGGGAGTTAGTGTGATGGAGAGGAGTGAGTGTGATGGAGGGGAGTGAGTGTGATGGAGGTGAGTGAGTGTGATGGAGGGGAGTTAGTGTGATGGAGAGGAGTGAGTGTGATGGAGGGGAGTGAGTGTGATGGAGGGGAGTGAGTGTGATGGAGAGGAGTGACTGTGATGGAGAGGAGTGAGTGTGATGGAGGGGAGTGAGTGTGATGGAGGGGAGTGAGTGTGATGGAGTGAGTGTGATGGAGAGGAGTGAGTGTGATGGAGGGGAGTTAGTGTGATGGAGAGGAGTGAGTGTGATGGAGGGGAGTGAGTGTGATGGAGGAGAGTGAGTGTGATGGAGAGGAGTGACTGTGATGGAGAGGAGTGAGTGTGATGGAGGTGAGTGTGATGGAGTGAGTGTGATGGAGTGAGTGTGATGGAGTGAGTGTGATGGAGGGGAGTGTGATGGAGGGGAGTGAGTGTGATAGAGGTGAGTGAGTGTGATGGAGGGGAGTGAGTGTGATGGAGGGGAGTGAGTGTGATGGAGCGGAGTGAGTGTGATGGAGGTGAGTGTGATGGAGTGAGTGTGATGGAGGGGAGTGTGATGGAGTGAGTGTGATGGAGTGGAGTGTGATGGAGGGGAGTGTGATGGAGGGGAGTGAGTGTGATAGAGGTGAGTGAGTGTGATGGAGGGGAGTGAGTGTGATGGAGGGGAGTGAGTGTGATGGAGAGGAGTGAGTGTGATGGAGGGGAGTGAGTGTGATGGAGAGGAGTGAGTGTGAGTGTGATGGAGTGAGTGTGATGGAGTGAGTGTGATGGAGGGGAGTGTGATGGAGTGAGTGTGATGGAGTGAGTGTGATGGAGTGAGTGTGATGGAGGGGAGTGTGATGGAGCGGAGTGAGTGTGATGGAGGTGAGTGAGTGTGATGGAGGGGAGTGTGATGGAGGGGAGTGAGTGTGATAGAGGTGAGTGAGTGTGATAGAGGTGAGTGAGTGTGATGGAGGTGAGTGAGTGTGATGGAGGGGAGTGAGTGTGATGGAGGGGAGTTAGTGTGATGGAGAGGAGTGAGTGTGATGGAGGGGAGTGAGTGTGATGGAGGTGAGTGAGTGTGATGGAGGGGAGTGAGTGTGATGGAGAGGAGTGAGTGTGATGGAGGGGAGTGAGTGTGATGGAGGGGAGTGAGTGTGATGGAGAGGAGTGACTGTGATGGAGAGGAGTGAGTGTGATGGAGGGGAGTGAGTGTGATGGAGGGGAGTGAGTGTGATGGAGTGAGTGTGATGGAGAGGAGTGAGTGTGATGGAGGGGAGTTAGTGTGATGGAGAGGAGTGAGTGTGATGGAGGGGAGTGAGTGTGATGGAGGGGAGTGAGTGTGATGGAGGGGAGTGAGTGTGATGGAGGTGAGTGAGTGTGATGGAGGGGAGTGAGTGTGATGGAGGGGAGTGAGTGTGATGGAGAGGAGTGAGTGTGATGGAGGGGAGTGAGTGTGATGGAGGGGAGTGAGTGTGATGGAGAGGAGTGAGTGTGATGGAGGGGAGTGAGTGTACAAGTGAGTGGTGCAGGTGAGAGTCTGGTGAGAGGGGGAATCTGCAGGGAGGTCTGGGGAGCCGGGGGCATCACTCACGAGAGGATGGCGAAGGTGATGAGGGTGATGCACAGGCAGGTGATCGAGATGGCGCAGCCTATGTAGCTGATGGTGGAGAGGGCTCGCTGGTGGTGCTCCGACAGCTGGGAACACACACACAGCCTGCCTGGTCATGTGCCGCCTGCCGCGGCCGCAAAGGTTCGAGCCCTGTTTAAGGCACAGGTCAGGTTAGCCTGAGTTTCGGTCATAAAACCCACGGCTCGTGACACCCATCCCAGGCCACCGGTGGCTGAGTCGGAGGTGTGTTGGTTTGTGAGTTCAACAACCTACGTTCAAATCCACGTGGACTTGAATTGCGCTTCAACATTTTTTATACTTGGCGGTCTACAAATATTCAAGAAAAATCTTGATTTTGCAAACCCACACACTCCCCACTCAGCCACTGGACACTTGTCTCAGCGTGCTGGTGGCTTGGTATATATGACTCCTGGGATATGACTTAACCAGGAGCCGAACTTGAGTATCATTCATATCTACCACAACCCGCAATGAGCAGTCCAAGCCCTCTCGCAGTTGAGTGGAGCGTGTGTGCCTGTTGGAGAATCTAGGTTCAAATCCAACTGTATTTTGTGATTTGAATACAATTTTTCCTATTTTAAATTCTCACGAGGAAACACGTGCCATGAATTCCCAGATTTGTTTTTGTACACTCTCCGAAGGATACCAGTCACTAAAACGTGATCGTGAGCGCGACGATATAATAACCGGAGCATTCCCCCAGCCTGGAGCAGGCACTACAGGCGTGAGCCACGGGTCGCCTGCCTCTTGAGTTTGAGAAGTTCTGGGTTCGAGTCCCGTCAAAGTCCGTTTTCCTAATAATTTTCGGCGTACGTGATGACAGATGGCGAAGGAGGCTGAGTGACGAGGAGAGGGTGGCGAGGAAACAGCAGCGTATAGAAACGAAGATTTTGGGGGATTCTTTTGCAGATGTTACCATTAGGGGTCGCTGTTGCATTAGGGTCCCCATTTATGCTGGTTTAAGCTGGTTTCGGGCACAAACATTGGGTTTACTGGCAAAAACGGGTTAAAGCAACCCATTAAACCCGCAATTTGTATGCAAAAACACAGTTTTTACTCATTTAATCGCGAATGTAGCGTCCAAAGCCCCATTCCCCAGGTGACACGAGACCAAAACGTAGCCCCCCAACCAAACACGGCAAAACACGAGCACTCAAACCTCCTGCAAACAATTTGTTTTGCTGCAAAATGTCCCGCTAAAGAAAACTCGTGAGCACGTTTCTCAAACGGGGGGGGGGGGCTGCGCTCAAATTATTGAGGCCACTCCCCGTTCCTGTGACGGGAGCGTGCGCGTCACCTGGAGCGGCGTGACCTGCATGAGGATGGCGAAGTTGGTGAGGTGCGTGCACTTGCACACGGAGAAGGAGCCGTTGCCCTGGGTCCTGGCGCAGCCGGCGTTGGACCAGACGCCCTGGGGCTCCGAACTGCAGTGCAGATACAGCGACACAGATACATCATCAGTACGTGGAGGCAGCATCAGTGTGGACGCAGCATTACCGATAGACCAGTAGAGTAGCGTCAAGTACGCTTGCTGGATATGGGGTGTGCTGTTGGATAGTGTGACTGCTGTGTGCGGTCGGTGTGTAGTTGGGGTGTGGTGTGTGTACGTCGTGCGGTGTGTGTGTGGTTGGCGCGTGCGGTGTGTGTGTGGTTGGTGCGTGCGGTGTGTGTGTGGTTGGTGTGTGCGGTGTGTGGTTGGCGCGTGCGGTGTGTGTGTGTGGTTGGCGCGTGCGGTGTGTGTGTGGTTGGCGCGTGCGGTGTGTGTGTGTGGTATGTGTGTGCGGTTGGTGCATCCAGGGGGCGTACGCACCTGAAGTCGAGGAACGCGCACCACAGCTGCACCCGTAGCGAGCTGTTAGAGGCGTCCATCTCCTGCAGCACAGGGGCAGCACGTGGGGGACACAGGGGATGCACAGGGGATGCACAAGCGTGGGAACGCGCGCTGCGTGCGCTCGCGTCACTCGATGGGAACGTGCCCTGGTACAGGGAGTCTCGGTGCAGGGAGTCGGTGTCACGGTGCAGGGAGTCTCGGTGCAGGGCGTCTCGGTGCAGGGAGTCGGTGTCACGGTGCAGGGAGTCGGTGTCACGGAGCAGGGAGTCGGTGTCACGGTGCAGGGAGTCGGTGTCACGGTGCAGGGAGTCTCGGTGCAGGGCGTCTCGGTGCAGGGAGTCACGGTGCAGGGAGTCGGTGTCACGGTGCAGGGAGTCGGTGTCACGGAGCAGGGAGTCGGTGTCACGGTGCAGGGAGTCGGTGTCACGGTGCAGGGAGTCTCGGTGCAGGGCGTCTCGGTGCAGGGAGTCACGGTGCAGGGAGTCGGTGTCACGGAGCAGGGAGTCGGTGTCACGGTGCAGGGAGTCGGTGTCACGGAGCAGGGAGTCGGTGTCACGGTGCAGGGAGTCGGTGTCACGGTGCAGGGAGTCTCGGTGCAGGGAGTCACGGTACAGGGAGTCACGGTGCAGGGAGTCACGGTGCAGGGAGTCGGTGTCACGGTGCAGGGAGTCGGTGTCACGGTGCAGGGAGTCGGTGTCACGGTGCAGGGAGTCGGTGTCACGGTGCAGGGAGTCGGTGGTGTCACGGTGCAGGGAGTCGGTGTCACGGAGCAGGGAGGCGGTGTCACGGTGCAGGGAGTCGGTGTCACGGTGCAGGGAGTCGGTGTCACGGTGCAGGGAGTCTCGGTGCAGGGAGTCACGGTACAGGGAGTCACGGTGCAGGGAGTCACGGTGCAGGGAGTCGGTGTCACGGTGCAGGGAGTCGGTGTCACGGTGCAGGGAGTCGGTGTCACGGTGCAGGGAGTCGGTGGTGTCACGGTGCAGGGAGTCGGTGTCACGGTGCAGGGAGTCAGTGGTGTCACGGTGCAGGGAGTCGGTGTCACGGTGCAGGGAGTCAGTGGTGTCACGGTGCAGGGAGTCGGTGGTGTCACGGTACAGGGAGTCGGTGTCACGGTGCAGGGAGTCGGTGGTGTCACGGTGCAGGGAGTCTCACGCGCTCGTGCAGCAGCACGACGGTGACGAGTGGGGAGCCGGAGAGCGAGGGGGAGAGGCGCGGGGGCGGCTGGGTCTTGAGGGAGATGATGCGACTCACCACCTCCAGTCGGTGGGTGTCCTCCTGGAGAGCGCCCGACACCCTGCCCCACCGGGGGAAGGATCGGGGGGGGAGGGCAGCAACAGTGATGACGCTGGAAGTTCTTAATGAACGAGTCAGATATCCCTTACCCCCCACCACCACCCCCCACCACCCCCCACTACCCCCGCCCTCCCCCCACTGCGCCGCACCTGGTTTGGGAGGGAGCGATGCGTCGGTAGAACCGGTGCACCGAGTGGTAGAGTAGCCCCACGATGGTGAGCTCCTCTGCACAGGCGAGTGGGGGGGGGGGGCGTGGGTGAGTAGAGGGGGGGGGGGGCATGGGTGAGCGGAGGAGGTACAGGGGTGAATATCGGGCGAGTGTGTGCGGTGAGTGGGATGCGAGTGTGGCGTTTTCAGTCGGCAGCTAGGAAATAGGCGATGGCGTCGTTTCCCTCGCTGAACCCCAGCCCTAACGTGACCCGCGTCGTGATCCCGCCATGACCCCGCCGTGACCCCGCCGTGAACTCACCGCGTGCGGGGAAGGCGGTGCCGGGGATGAAGATGTAGCTGGCGCCGTGCGCCGGGAAGCGGTACTCGTGCAGGTGCCACGCGCCGGGAACCTTGACGAGAGCAAAGTCTGCAGCAGAGGGGAGCAGGGTCACGCCGAGGTCAACCCGAGGTCGCGCCAAACAGGTCATGACCTCTCACGAATATCCCGGTGAGAGCGGTGACGAGAGGCTCGCGGCCGCTGCGTAACAACAGGGGTCCGTGGTGAGCGGCACTGTCAAAATCACGATGCAGAAAGCTTCACTCGCAGCAAAGCTCTGTGTGAATAACAATCACAGTCGGTGCTTTACACCGTTCGGGTTCATTCGCTTGGCTGCTTCACACCGCGAGCCGCAACTCTCCCGTGAGCCACAGTTATAAAGCAGTGCCACCCGGCAGAGCCTCGCTCTCTGGGTCACAACGCTATTTTTGCAGGAGGGTCCTGCTACATTCACATAGATGGGCAATTCCGCGAAAGAGGGAACGCGCTGAAGAGACAGGAGGTGGAGTGGAGGTGATGATGAAGGGAGAGGAGGGGGTGCTGGGTGCTGCGCGTGCCGGGTGGCGCGGTACCGGCGGAGTCGGTGCGCCCGCGGATCGTGATGGGGCCGCCCGAGGAGGAGGAGCCGAGGCGCGAGGCCACGCGACTCGTCGCCTCGTCCACCGTGAGCAGCAGCCCGCTCACCACCGAGCCGGCCTGGGGGTCGTGAGTTCACGGGGTCGTCACGCGAATACGGGGCGGGGGGCGGGGCACTGCGTTGGCTCTGGCGGGCAGAGACCTCAACGCTGCTCGACCAACATCGCCGTGGAAACGGCACCACGTGGCGCCCGGTGTCGCGGCGACTACTTCAGCTCCACCCGACGGGGCCTCAGGCTCACACGCCGCCCCGACTCATCCCTCCACACTCACCACGGCTCATCACACCACACTCACCACACCGCAGTTCACAACACCATACACAACCCCCCCCCCCACCCCCCCTCGGAGTGGGTTACCTGTGAGAACTGCGCCATCACTGGTGAAAGGAGGACGTCCTCCACCGAGCCCAGGAAACTCTGCAGGCCACACGGGGTCACAGGGTAGGTGGACATGGGGTTATAGGGGCGTGTGGACACAGAGCTGCAGGGATACCGGGCTTGTGGACATGGGGACATAGGGATATGGGGACATGGAGGCATTAGGTCAAGGAGACATGGGGGTACAGGGAAATGGAGACACAGGTACACAGGGAAATATGGAGAGACATGGGGACACGACGGAATATGCGGGGACATGCGGGGTGCTGGAGGACAGCGGTGCTCACCTGGGTGAGGTTGCGCGCCACGTCAGGGCTGATGGCGTGAGCGTCCGGGATATTGGGCACCAGGGCTCCCAAGTGTCCCAGATCCCTCCCGGGCCCCAGGGCACGCCCCGACCCCAACCGTGCGGCTGCCCCCTCCTGGCCGAGTTGCCCTGAACCACCGGGGAGACCCCGAGATGCCCCCGGGGGCGACTGTGGAAACATCAGCATTAGCAGCAGTCAGAGGGGGACCTTGACCCCCAGCGTAGAATTAAGTTACGGAGACGTCAACGGCGGTGTCGGGCGAACGCTGCCCGAGTGCTTCGGTGTACGGCCGTGACCTCTGACCGTGAGCTCAGTGACCGCCCCCCCCCCCCCCCCGTGCAACCCCACTAAGCCAGGCACGTGCCCGGCCAGCGAACAGCTGACGCGAGACTCGCAGAGTGACGGCGGCCTGGCTCGCTCCAGTGACACAGAGCGGGGGGCTCAAGTGGCATCTACAATGGGTTTGAGTGCGGATTCATTCAGCTTCAAGTGGGGCTGAATTGAGATGTCAGGTGCGGTTTTAATTAGCTTCAAGCGGGGGTAGACTGGCATTTGAGTGACGTGTAAAGTGAGGTATACGTGCAGGGGGTTTTATAGAGATTTGAGTGGGGTTGGAGTGAAACGCTCGGCACGGTGTAAGCGGGACTCAAGGGAGGTGTCGGTGCATGTGGGATCCCCGCGCGGTGCCGGGTCGGTGAGGCTGGCCGGGGCTGGCCGACTCACCGTTCGGCCGCCGGGCTCCGCGGTGGGGAGAGTCGCGCCGGGCTTTGCGGCGAGAGACGCGTCCGCTCCTGCGGCAGCGAAACCCGGGGCGAAGTCACAACGGGGCCCCCCCCACAGAGACCCAGCCACAGATACTCAATGCACTCACGAACACAGCCACACAGACAAGAGTCACGTGCTGGTACACTCACCCACTCATGCGCTTGGACACTCACCCACTCGCTCATGCACTTGTACACCCACTCACCCACCCGCCCACTCACCCCCCCACCCACCCACCCACTCACCCACTCACGCACATTGCCATGCTCTCACCAGTCGCCGAGGTGAAGTACAGCCGGACCTCGCGTGCCGTGAGCCTCCTCTCCCACACGATCACCTCGTCAAACGCGACGTCTCCCGCCGGCGCCCCCAGCGGGGAGGGGGGACTCCCGGCCGCCAGGACGAGCCCTCCCCCAGGGCTCGCGCCGTACCGCTCGCTGCAGGGGGCCCCGCGGGGGTCCCAGGCCGAGGGGGTCCCGTTGACGAACACCCGCAGGCCCGAGCCCCGGCTCCACGTGAAGAGCAGGTGGGACCACACGGCGCCTGTGGGGAGCGTGCGGGGAGTGCGGGGGCTTCACTCGTGATGCTGTGCACCACCACCAGCAGTGCCACCAGCAGTGCCATCGCCACCACCTCCAGCAGCAGTTCCAGCAGCAGTGCCATCGCCACCACCACCACCACCTCCACAAGCAGCAATATCAGCAGTTCAATCACCACCACCACCTCTAGCAGCAGTTACAGCAGCAGTGCCATTATCACCTCCACCACCACCTCCATCAGCAGTGCCACCAGCAGTGCCACCACCACCACCTCCAGCAGCAGTTACAGCAGCAGTGCCACCAGCATCGTCATCACCACCACCACCAGCGCTGTGGACACCACCATCGCCACCACTCAGCGGTTAGCGCGGAGCGGTGTGCGACGGTCAGCATAACGGAAAGTACGAAACGAACCACGGAGTGCCGCAACCCGCGTGGAGAGCGGTGACGCGAGCGCTATGTCTACCATAACAATAATAATAATAAAACAACGCATTGAGAGGCCGCACAGCTCTCTGCCTGTGAACATTTCTCAACGCTCCCTACAAGCCAAGGTGAACCACGTGAACCAGGTGAACCACGTGAACCAGGTGAACCACGTGAACCAGGTGAACCACGTGAACCAGGTGAACCACGTGAACCACGTGAACCAGGTGAGCCACGTGAACCACGTGAACCAGGTGAACCAGGTGAACCACGTGAACCAGGTGAACCACGTGAACCACGTGAACCAGGTGAACCACGTTAACCAGGTGAGCCACGTGAACCACGTGAACCAGGTGAACCACGTGAACCAGGTGAGCCGGGTAGGAGTGAGCTGTGCAGCGTGCCGCACGGGGCGATGGGACCGGGGTGCGGAGGGCCCGGGGTGCGGAGGTCGCGCCGAGCCGTCGGGCCGGAGCCCCGCGGGGTGGAGGGACGGACGAGAGATTTCAGCCGCTGACAACTTCGCCGGGGCCTCCCCCGTGGGTCACGGCCCGGGGAGGGGGGAGAGGGGAGGGCGGGGGGGCAGACGACAAACGGCGCCCGTCCCCCTCGTCCTCGGGGTGCTGAGGAAAGCCGGCTCCACAGGACGGATTACACCCATGGTAGAGGAGGTTTTTTTTGGGTGAGATCGCGTAAATATATAAATGTGTCATTAAACCCGCCGCCGCCCGACACAGCCAACTAGTGAGGGTTGCCACGCAAACAGAACGTGGCCAATTCGTCACTAGCACAGCACCACCGGCATGTGTTGGAGAGCCAAACCACAACATTCACAACCTGAGTACGACGTTTCGCCAGTAACTACAACTAGCTTCATCAGGCGACAGCCAGACTTGTGGAGACATCCTCCTGGTGACGCGGCGCGGCGGTGCGCAGCAGGGGATGCACCGGACACACCGAGGGTGGTCCCTCTCGGCGTTCCGGCACCGTCATCAAACCCCTTTTAAAACGGCGCGATCACTTCCGCCACGCTCACCATCCTCACCATCCCCACCATCCTCACCCCCACGGCCCCACTCACCGGGGCCCCGTGCCTCGGCCTGCCACCTCCACGCGGCCACGAACGCGAGAATCTCCGCGGAGCCGCGCTCGGGGTCCACGCTGATCGAGAAGCCGCTCGGGGAGGGCGGCCTGTGGCCCGGGAAGGACGAGGAGGAGGAGGAGGCGGTGGAGGAGGAGGAGGAGGAAGCGGAGGAGGAGGAGGAGAGCTGCGCTGCACGGGAGCCACGCTCTGTCCTCTTCCAGAAGAGAGACAACGTGACGCCTGCGTGGGGACACGGGGGTCACAGGGGTCAGAAGGGCACGAAAACATCACGTGACGACATCGCCAACACTACTCGCAATACATCACCATCATTACATCATCACCATCATTACATCATCACCACCACCATCACTACATCATCACCACGTATATCGTTACATAATCACCACCATCACTACATCATCACCACCACCATCACGACATCATCACCACCTCTATCATTACATCTTCACCACCATCACTACATCATCACCACCACCATCACGACATCATCACCACCTATATCATTACATCTTCACCACCATCACTACATCATCACCACCACCATCACTACATCATCACCACCATCACTACCTCATCACCATCATTACATCATCACCACCACCATCACTACATCATCATCCTGCGTCCTTTCACTGGAAAAAACACCTCTGCGGTACAAAATTCTACTCACCTGGTATCGACAATCAAGGGTATTTCCCTGTCCCCAGACGACCTGCTTGTCAGTTTTGATGTAGTTTCCTTATTCACCAAGGTTCCTGTACTTGACACCATCGCAATCATTGAAGACTTGGTTCATCAAGGACTAAACACTGAGGTACCCCCCCTGGTGAGACACTGTTTAACCAATACATACTTCACTTGGAATGGAACTTTCTACAAACAAACTGAGGGCACCCCAATGGGCTCCCCCCTATCTCCGGTTATAGCTAACATTTTCATAAAGAAATTTGAGACTGACGCCATCCAGACTGCCACTCTGCGCCCAACCTTATGGAAGAGGTACGTGGATGACACTTTTGTCATCTGGCCACATGGCCGGCCTGCTCTAGACAAATTCTTCGACCACATCAATTCCATACACCCAGCCATCAGATTTACCATGGAAGTCGAAAAAGATGGCAAGCTACCTTTTTTGGATGTCCTAATTAAAAATAGACCTGATGGTTCAATGAGCCACTCTGTCTACAGGAAAGCTACCCATACGGATGCTTATCTGAAACCGGATTCCCACCACCATCCATCACAGAAGAATTCTCTCATCAAGACTCTGTATCATAGAGCCCAATGCATATCCGACCAGGAACACATAGGCAGTGAACTCAAGCACGTACACCAAGCTCTTAAGGCTAATGGTTACTCCGACTATACAATCCGCAAAGCTATCACTCAAACCATGAAGAAGGACCCTCTTGAGGAGCCTATCAAAACCATCACTTTACCCTGCATTGCGGGGATCACAAAAAAGATCTCCAAAATCTTGAATAAGCACAAGATCCAGGTCCGTTTCAACACATTACATAAAATCCGTGATCTGGTTCCGTCTGTAAAAGATGTGATTCCGGACATACAATACCCTGGTGTCTACAAACTAAGTTGCCTTTGTGGTAGTAGTTACATTGGAGAAACCAAACGCCATGTCTCGGACCGCATTCGTGAACACAAAGCAGACCTTAAACACGGTAGGACCAACACCTCGGCCGTGGCAGATCATTGTTATAATTCAGTAGGCTCACATGACATTGACTTTTCCAAGACAGAGGTTCTTTGTAAGCCATCTGGCTACCATGAGAGATTCGTTCATGAGGCTATCCACATATACAAGCACAGAGACAATTTCAACCGAGAAGATGGATTCTGGCTTAGCAATCATTGGAAAGATTTGATTAACCATTTCAGGTCTTAATTGATTGTTCACGCTTACAGTGGCTTTCAGACAGCATACATTAAACAAAAATTCGTCTCCCCCCTCCTCTTTTCAGAACATAGATGGACTAGTCCGTCTAAATAAACTGCTAAATCGCTGCGCGTGGCGCTAACGGTTTTTTTATTATAAATAAATAAATAACTACACCGTTTACAAATAAATAAATTTATGCAAACCGACACCTGAAGACGACCGTTTGTGTTATGGTCGAAACGTCGTGAGAATTTGTTATTGTTATATATATTTTATTATTTTGTTGTTTCCCTTCAACGTGACTTTACCGAAAGAACTAAGAATATACCTCATCACCATCATTACATCATCACCATCACTACATCATCACCACCTCTATCATTACATCATCACCACCATCACCACCACCATCACTACATCATCACCAACAGCATCACTACGTCGTCACCACCATCACTACGTCGTCACCACCATCACTACATCATCACCACCACCTCCATCACAACGTCGTCACCACCACCATCACTACATCACCACCATCACTACATCACCACCATCACTACATCAGCGCCACCATCACTACATCACCACCATCACTACATCACCACCATCACTACATCACCACCATCACTACATCACCACCATCACTACATCATCACCACCACCATCACTACATCACCGCCACCATCACTACATCACCACCATCACTACATCATCACCACCACCATCACTACATCACCACCACCATCACTACATCATCACCACCATCACTACATCACCACCACCATCACTACATCATCACCATCACTACATCATCACCACCACCATCACTACATCACCACCACCATCACTACATCACCACCATCACTACATCACCACCACCATCACTACATCACCGCCACCATCACTAAATCACCACCACCACCATCATTACATCACCACCACCATCATTACATCACCACCACCATCACTACATCACCACCACCATCACTACATCATCACCATCACTACATCATCACCACCACCATCACTACATCACCACCACCATCACTACATCACCGCCGCCATCACTACATCACCGCCACCATCACTACATCAGCGCCACCATCATTACATCACCACCACCATCATGACATCACCACCACCATCACTACATCACCACCACCATCACTACATCACCACCACCATCACTACATCATCACCACCATCACTACATCACCACCACCATCACTACATCATCACCATCACTACATCATCACCACCACCATCACTACACCACCACCATCACTACATCACCACCACCATCACTACATCACCACCACCATCACTACATCATCACCACCACCATCACTACACCACCACCATCACTACATCACCACCACCATCACTACATCATCACCACCACCATCACTACACCACCACCATCACTACATCACCACCACCATCACTACATCACCACCACCATCACTACACCACCACCACCATCACTACATCACCACCACCATCACTACATCACCACCACCATCACTACACCACCACCACCACCACCTCGTGGCGAGCAGAGTGCCGGCTGGCTGACGCACGACTCCTCCCGCGACTCCCGCGCCGAGCGCGGCAGCAGCGCGGTGGCGGCGCCGCTCCCGCGCAGCAGCAGCACCCCGCGGCCCTCCGGCCAGTCCACCAGCTCTGGGGATCATCAGCAGCATCATCATCATCATCAGCGGCATCATCTCCAGCAGCAGAAACATCATTGTCATCATCAGCTACATCAGCATCATCATCACTAGCATCAGCATCAGCAGCAGAAACATCATTGTCATCAGCGACATCAGCATCATCACCAGCAGCAGAAACATCATTGTCATCATCAGCTACATCAGCATCATCATCAGCGCCATAATCATTAGCAGCAGAAACATCATTGTCATCAGCGACATCAGCATCATCATCACCAGCAGCAGAAACATCATTGTCATCAGCTACATCAGCATCATCATCAGCGGCATCATCATTAGCAGCAGAAACATCATTGTCATCATCAGCTACATCAGCATCATCATCAGCTGCAGAAACATCATTGTCATCATCAGTTACATCAGCGTTATCATCAGCAATAGAAACATCATTGTCATCATCAGCTACATCAGCATCATCATCAGCGGCATCATCATTAGCAGCAGAAACATCATTGTCATCATCAGCTACATCAGCATCATCATCAGCGCCATAATCATTAGCAGCAGAAACATCATTGTCATCAGCGACATCAGCATCATCATCACCAGCAGCAGAAACATCATTGTCATCAGCTACATCAGCATCATCATCAGCGGCATCATCATTAGCAGCAGAAACATCATTGTCATCATCAGCTACATCAGCATCATCATCAGCTGCAGAAACATCATTGTCATCATCAGTTACATCAGCGTTATCATCAGCAATAGAAACATCATTGTCATCATCACCTACATCAGCATCATGAGCAGCAGCAGAAACATCATTGTCATCATCAGCTACATCAGCATTATCATCAGCAGCAGAAACATCATTGTCATCATCAGCGACATCAACATCATCATCAGCAGCAGAAACATCATTGTCATCATCATCAGCAACAGAAACATCATTGTCATCATCAGCTACATCAGCATCATCATCAGCAGCAGAAACATCATTGTCATCGTCAGTGACATCAGCATCATCATACTCGCGTGTGCCGTGTGGGTGCTTGGGCCCTACCCACGGTGGCCTCCAGGCTGGAGTAGCGGCTGGAGCCGTTGGCGGTGGTCTCCGCCGTGGCGTTGAGCTCCACGAGACGAGACGAGGGGGCCACCTCAGCTGTGGAGACGCAGCCACCACGCGCCCCCTCACACACCCGTCTCGCCCCCCCCCCTCCTCATCTCCTACCCCCCGCGTCTCTCCTTGAGACGTTTGACCCCCACACTCCGTGTCTCCGTGTGTCACCTCGCCCCCCGTGCCCCCCCCCGTGTCCCCCCCCCCCCACTCGTGTCCCCCCCCCCGTGTCCTCCCCCCGTGTCCCCCCCCCGTGTCCCCCCCCCCGTGTCCCCCCCCCCGTGTCCCCCCCCGTGTCCCCCCCCCGTGTCCCCCCCCCCGTGTCCCCCCCCGTGTCCCCCCCCCCTCGTGTCGCCCCCCCCCGTGTCCCCCCCCGTGTCCCCACCCCCCGTGTCCCCCCCCCCACTCGTGTCCCCCCCCGTGCCCCCCCCCGTGTCTCCTGGTGAGGGGGCGTGGCTCACCTTGTCCCGTGGGGTCACGTGGTCGCGGCACCTCCAGGAGCCCGGGGACGCGGCCCAGAGGCCAATAGCGGGAGGCGGAGTAGACCAGAGACAGTCCCGGCCCTGGGAGACACGGGACACGTGAACAGGGGGACAGGTGAACAGGGGGACAGGTGAACAAGGGGACAGGTGAACAGGGGGACAGGTGAACAGGGGGACATGGGACAGGTGAACAGGGGGACAGGTGAACAGGGGGACAGGTGAACAAGGGGACAGGTGAACAGGGGGACAGGTGAACAGGGGGACAGGTGAACAAGGGGACAGGTGAACAGGGGGACAGGTGAACAGGGGGACATGGGACAGGTGAACAGGGGGACATGGGACAAGTGAACAGGGGACATGGGACACGTGAACAAAGGGACATGGGACAGGGGGACATGGGATAGGTGAACAAGGGGACATGGGATAGGTGAACAAGGGGACATGGGACAGGTGAACAAGGGGACATGGGACAGGTGAACAGGGGACATGGGACACGTGAACAAGGGGACATGGGATAGGTGAACAAGGGGACACGGGGAGACCCGGGCACAGGATGAAGGCCTCCCCAAACCTTCCCAAACGTCTCACGATCGACGCAGCTCCTCGCCTCCTCTCTCTCCCCTCTCCTCCTCCGCTTCTCTCTTCCCAGGCCGCGTTCGGGGGGTTCCATCGCGCCCGGGAATGGTGGCGCCTCTAGCAGCTGCCGGGGTCGTGCGGACCAATAACGGATAAAACCCGAGAATTTGATGACCATCGGAATCGATGAATTCTCAACGCCTCCGTTAACGTCAAGGACGACTTCATAATCGAGGAGAGACGAGGGTGGGAGGAGGGGACTCCGTCGTGGAGCAGTGCGAGGGAAGATTCAGAAAGAAAAGCGTTGTGACTTGCAGTGTGGTGATTGGGTGGGTGGGTGAGTGAGTGGGTGGGTGAGTGGGTGGGTGAGTGAGTGGGTGGGTGAGTGAGTTGTGACCTGTAGTGTGGTGGGTGAGTGAGTGGGTGGGTGAGTGAGTGAGTGGGTAAGTGGGTAGGTGAGAGGGTGGGTGAGTGAGTTGTGACCTGTAGTGCGGTGGGTGGGTAGGTGAGTGAGTTGGTGAGTGAGTGAGTGGGTGAGTGAGTGAGTGGCTGAGTGAGTGAGTGGCTGAGTGAGTGAGTGAGTGGATGAGTGGGTAGGTGAGAGGGTGGGTGAGTGAGTTGTGACCTGTAGTGCGGTGGTTGGGTAGGTGAGTGAGTTGGTGAGTGAGTGAGTGGGTGAGTGAGTGAGTGGGTGAGTGAGTGAGTGGATGAGTGAGTGGGTAGGTGAGTTGTGACCTGTAGTGTGGTGGGTTAGTGGGTGAGTGAGTGGGTGGGTGAGTGAGTGGGTGGGTGAGTGAGTTGTGACCTGTAGTGTGGTGGGTGAGTGAGTGGGTGGGTGAGTGGGTGAGTGAGTGAGTGGGTGAGTGGGTAGGTGAGAGGGTGGGTGAGTGAGTTGTGACCTGTAGTGCGGTGGGTGGGTAGGTGAATGAGTGGGTGAGTGAGTGAGTTGGTGACCTGCAGTGTGGTGGTTGAACACAATACGACACAATCCACTGCTGGATGGAGGCCTCCCCACGTGCGGGGAGATTCGAGAGACATTTCTGATGCAATCGCCACTGACGGTAGCCGCGTACAGAAATCCAGCTCGCGTCTCTAGCCGGGCTGATAACGCAGCGCGTGAAACCACTGCGTCGCCGCTGCCGTAATCGTTTCGCTGATGGCTCAAGCCAAGCCTCCTGGAGTCTCGAGACTCCGTGTCCAGGAGGGTTCTGCTCCACTGGGAAGTTTGACCGATTCCCCTTTAACTGAAGCCCACAGCCGTGCCCGCCTAGACCTGGGAAGCCAAGCAGGTACCAGCCCGGCTAGTGTTATACCCTTGGGCTGCGAGGTCGCCAGTACAGCAATGGCTTATTAAATCTATCTGTGTGGATCCCCCTTAGATACGGTGTCTGGGTATTCTCCGGGGTCTCTGGGTTCCTCGCACACGAAGCCAGACATCCCACGTCGCAGGGAAACCTCCCTGAGCCTCAAGAGCACTGGCGGGGGGCGGCACGTGCCCTCCCCTCCAATGATCAGATTGAAATCCCTAATTTCGATCGGATCATTGGGGTTTATTAGTAATAAATCGGCATTTTGCGACCCCCACTGCCACTGTGAAGCATATTATTATTACGTACCAGGGACTCTATGAGATGATAGGACAATAGTCTGAGTCCATAATTTGCAATACGCAACGGCAAAGCAGTTATAAGTGACTCACATAATTGTTCGCAGTTGCGTATACAGTCCACGACTTCCCTGAAGGCAAACACCTTCAGCGAGCGCGATGCCGATCACCCAACGGGGTTCGAATTTGACCCTCGATCGATGGCTGCGCCATCGCCGCACACGCGTCGAATAAAAATCAAGGGACAACTCCTTACTTACTAACAACTCCTCTATCATTTTTCATTGCTGGAGGGATTGTGCCTCCCCCCCCCCCCCCCCCCCCCCCACCTGAAAATCCTGGCTCCGCCATTGCTCAAGAGTCTCAAATTCTCAGAGAGGCTTTCTTGGGTGAACAGAGGTCAATATGATGGAGGCGACTCGAACTCACAGATATCCGCATCCAAGGTGCCCTCTCCTCCTGGCGGGGTCCCCTCTGCTCGCCGGGTCTGTGCCAAGCGCACGCACGGACACGCACACACGTGGCTCGACTCCGTGCCGCTCACGGGCAGGCACCAATTCCCCCCCCCCCCCCCCCCCCCGGTGTCCCCGGGCGCGTGCTGGTGGAGTTGCGAGAAAGTCCTACCGGGATGCAGCTGACGAGCAGCAGCAGCAGCGCCAGGACCCGCCAGCTCCAGGCGGGGACCATTGCTGCTGGGGTCGCAGTTCCAGGGGCAAGGAGATGAGAGGCTAGGATGTTAAGGATCCAGATGCCAGGAGACCAGGATATTATCAGACACCAGCAGATTAAGGAGCAGTAGAATAATGACGAGAAACTCGAGAACCACGATCCTAAATACGAAAAACCAGGAACTAGAGGAGACCTGAATACCGAAGTCGGAGGAGACTCGGAGTCCAGGAGTCCACTTCAGTCGCGACGTCGAGATTGACGCTTCATGCAGGGACGAGGTCGTACCTCTCCACCACCTCCACGCTCAGCCCATGTCCCGCAGAGTCCAGAAATCACTCTCTCCGCTCCGTGCGCCTCGCTCCGCAGCAGGTCCGGCCCGGGAAGTATGACGAGGAGGAGTATGACGAGGAGGAGGAGGGGAGCGCGTGTTCTGCCCGTGACTGCGCACGCTGTTTGTGCCTCTGGGCTGGAATGCGTTTCTCGAGGAGCCGCGAGGCGCTGGAGGAGACGCGGCTTTAATTGAAACGAAGAGGCGCGTTCATTAGAGCAGGGGTGAGAAGTCTTACGTGGCGGTGAGGAGGGGTGAGGAGGGGTGAGGAAGGCGAGGAGTGAGGAGTCTCACGCCGCGGTGAGCAGGGGGAAGAGGAGGCGCGGCCCCGTGTCCCTCCAGCCCCATCACCGCGTCGTCATCATCGTCGTCATCATCATCGTCCTCCCGTATTGAGGACTCGGACTGCCAGACACTGTCTTGTCTCATCCGTCATACTGCGTTCAACCACCACACCGCAGGTCACTCACCCTACCACTCACCCACCTACTCTCCGACTCACTCACTCACTCACCCACCTACTCTTCCACTCACCCACTCACCACACCGCAGGTCACTCACCCTACCACTCACCCACCTACTCTCCCACTCACTCACCCACTCACTCACCCACCTACTCTTCCACTCACCCACTCACCACACTGCAGGTCACTCACCCTCCCACTCACCTACCTACTCTCCCACTCACCCTCCCACTCACTCACCCACTCACTCTCCCACTCACCCACTCACCACACTGCAGGTCACTCACCCTCCCACTCACCCACCTACTCTCCCACTCACCCACCCACTCACCACACTGCAGGTCACGACAACACACTCACTCACTCACCCACCTACTCTCCCACTCACTCACCCACTCACCCACTCACTCACCCACCTACTCTCCCACTCACTCACCCACCCACTCACCACACTGCAGGTTACTCACCCTCCCACTCTCCCGCCTACTCTCCCACTCACCCTCCCACTCACTCACCCACTCACTCTCCCACTCACCCACTCACCATACTGCAGGTCACTCACCCTCCCACTCATCCACCTACTCTCCCACTCACCCACCCACTCACCACACTGCAGGTTACGACGCTTCTCTTTCCGCTTCTTCCTTCGCATTGCTCCACTTCCCTCCTCCCATCACCGCCTCTTGTCCCCAGGCTCTCTGACAATCAGCTGACTCACTTTAAGAAACGTGTCATACTCTTACAGTGAGGGAAAAAAGTATTTGATCCCCTGCTGATTTTGTACGTTTGCCCACTGACGAAGAAATGATCAGTCTATAATTTTAATGGTAGGTTTATTTCAACAGTGAGAGACAGAATAACAACAACAACAACATTCAGAAAACGCATGTCAAAAATGTTATAAATTGATTTGCATTTTAATCAGGGAAATAAGTATTTGACCCCCTCTCAATCGGAATGATTTCTGGCTCCCAGGTGTCTTTTATACAGGTAACGAGCTGAGATTAGGAGCACACTCTTAAAGGGAGTGCTCATAATCTCAGCTTGTTACCTGTATAAAAGACACCTGTCCACAGAAGCAATCAATCAATCAGATTCCAAACTCTCCACCATGGCCAAGACCAAAGAGCTCTCCAAGGATATCAGGGATAAGATTGTAGACCTACACAAGGCTGGAATGGGCTACAAGACCATTGCCAAGTAGCTTGGTGAGAAGGTGACAACAGTTGGTGCGATTATTCGCAAATGGAAGAAACACAAAATAACTGTCAATCTCCCTCGGCCTGGGGCTCCATGCCAGATCTCACCTCGTGGAGTTGCAATGATCATGAGAACGGTGAGGAATCAGCCCAGAACTACACGGGAGGATCTTGTCAATGATCTCAAGGCAGCTGGGACCATAGTCACCAAGAAAACAATTGGTAACACACTACGCCGTGAAGGACTGAAATCCTGCAGCGCCCGCAAGGTCCCCCTGCTCAAGAAAGCACATATACATGCCCGTCTGAAGTTTGCCAATGAACATCTGAATGATTCAGAGGACAACTGGGTGAAAGTGTTGTGCTTCTTCTTGAGCCACTCCTTTGTTGCCTTGGTGGTGATGGTAATGTCACTGCTGCTGATGGTGGTGGTGATGGTAATGACACTGCTGCTGATGGTGATGGTAATGATGACACTGCTGCTGATGGTGGTGATGATAATGATGACACTGCTGCTGATGGTGGTAATGATGGTAATGATGACACTGCTGCTGATGACAATGATCGTGGTGTTGACCGTGATGATGACTCGCAGCTGCAGCTACCGGGCGCGACAGAAGCACCACCTCCCGAGCGTCGCCAACCACCACGCCCAGAAACTCCCCTCGGACCCATCGTCCGCGGCCCCCGACGTGACAGCCACGGCGCCCGGGGTCCCCGCGGTGGCCGGGCCGAGAGGGTCCGGAGCCGCGGGCTGGGGTCGCTGGCGGCGCTCGCTGTGGCCGCGCGGGGTCAAGCAGGCGGTCCAGTCGTGGGCCACGTCGGTCTCGGTCGCGCACACCGGGCACGAGATGCGGGCCCCCGAGGCCGAGCGAGAGCCGTGCATGGCGCTCAGGCACGACTCGCACAACACGTGGGGGCATGCCAGGGCCCAGGGCTTCCGAATCGCGTCGAAGTGCTCGTCGCACAGGGGACACGGGGGCAGCGCGAGATGATCGTCGGCGTCATCTCGGTCCGACGCGGCGGGCACCTCTGCAGGGATGGCCGGACTTTCGGAAGGTTCCTCGTAAAAGTCGTAGTCCTCAATGTTTACGGTGGCGGATATCTGATGGGCCACGACATCTGCACGTTCAAAACGTTCCTCGGCCAAGCCATAGTCGTCGTCGTCAGGGTAGATGGACCACTCATCGTCCTCGGTGTTGATGGATCCCTGAGCGGCGTCTCCCGACGCGTCGGCATGAAAGTCCCCTCTTCCTCCTCTTCCTCCTCCTCCGGGCGGTGGCGGCGGTGCCGCGGCGCGGAGCTTCCTCAGCACGAGCTCGTTGATGGGCAGATTCTCCACGTCTCCCTCCACGTCTTGCTCGGTCCGGCACGCGGGGCAGGTGACGAAGCCCTCCTGCTCTAAGGTCAGGTTCTTGGCGCATTGCAGGCAGAGGGTGTTGAGGCAACACCCGAGGATCCGCGGGCTGTGCGGGTCCTCGTCGAAAGGCTCGCAGCAGATCTGGCAGCAGAGGTCGTCGTCTCCCGGCATGGTTCAGTGACTGACCGACACCACTGAGTGACCCTCACCAGCGTGTGTGATCCTCACCACTGAGTCGGCCTCACCAGCGTGTGTGATCCTCACCACTGAGTCGGCCTCACCAGCGTGTGTGATCCTCACCACTGAGGCGGCCTCACCAAAGTGTGACCCTCACCACTGAGTCAGCCTCACCACCGTGTGACTCTCACCACTGAGTCACCCTCACCACCGTGTGTGACCCTCACCACTGTCACCCTCACCATCGTGTTCGATCACCACCGTCACCCTCACACCACAATCCTCGAACGGGCCACACTGCACGAGGCTCGTCGCATTCCACGACTCGCGGCCAAGTTCCAGGAATCGTCGAGTACAGACCGAATCACAGCGGAGGAGTGGAGGGAGATGGGAGGCCAACGAGTGAGTGAGTGACTGCGCACGGTGCCTTCCGTGTTTTGAGAGTTCCGCGGACGGAACCCGGACGGCAGGGCGGGACCGGCAGGACCGGACCGGTCGGGGGTGAAGAGTTGGTTGGGTTTTGGGTGTCGAGGTCACAGCAAAACCCACGCGCGCCACGACATCGCGGCGAGGTAGAGGCCAGTGTCCCATATAAAGTTTCTGTAAGTTATACGACATCGTAACCTTACACGGGTTAAGGTTTAATGTGGGGCAATAATTTAACGCAGTTTTATTCTAGATGATTGGGAGCCGCGGACCCCCGCGATCTTGAGTTGAATTCCCGGTAACGGTTGACGTCAGTGTCGACTGGCGTCTCCTCTCATCCTGCGGATTCTTCCCTCGCTCTGCTCCACAACGGAATTCCCTCCTCCCATCGTCTCTCTTTCCCAAGCTCGGAAAGCCATCGCCTCGCTCATTTCAAGACTCATCGACTGTATTGCACTCTTACCGAGTAAAACTTGACAAGAGTCGATTGTGACTGGCCGCTGACGTTTTGGATCTGTGCCCAGCAATTTTTTTTTCTAAATGGAAATAAATGTGCGCGAATGCGTCAACCCCCGTAAATCACCAACCCCCCCGAAATTCACAAACCCGAACTGAGCAACGTAGTCAGGCACAGTCAAAACAACCTCGTGTGGACCGTGATTATCCACTTGACGCAACCGTGGATGAACAACGCGGTGCAGGCGGCAGCAGCTGCTCTGCAGCGTGGGGTCTGTGCCCAGGTCGCTACTGGGGTTGGAGGAGGGGGGGGGGGTCCCCGACTCTCCATGCTTAGGCGGAAGCGAGAGAGGGCGCGCGTAATCATCCCTGCTCCGGGAACGACGGCGAAACTTCCACGTGTGCGGTCGCATTGTTCGCGTGTTCACGGCATCGGGGGCGGTTTTGCCAGAAGTCAGACAAAAAGAAACGCTGTTGGTTGACGCTGTGATATGGTATATACGGGGCCCCCTTTTTGCCAATGCCGTATCAAGATTATGAATGAATATTCATTTTTTAATTACTGTGAACTGAGCCCCAGATGGCGTTTTTTTTTGTGTCACGGGGGAGCACCAGAGTTCACCAAGTTGTTAACCACCCACCACCGCACTCTGACAGCCTCCCCAGGTGTCTCAGTTAAAAACTAAAGCGCGTTGTTTATCGATATGTTTTTACACGTGCGGTGCATCGGCAAACCGGTATTTCCATGCGGGTTTTAGGTTGGACAGAAAAAAAAAACCCCGTCAAGGAAAAAAAATCGCCTCTCCTACACATCGGTTCCATCCCGACTACAAAAATGTTGTTTTACGCGTTTACGCCAGCCACTCTGCCTTCCGTGAGTGCATAATTTCAGCAACATCATTGGCACAACAGCAGCAGACCCCGGGCCGGTTTGGGCACGTGGCGTCATCGGAGTGTGGTCCCGGCCTGCCCCTACCACATCCGCGTGCTGTCCCCGCATCGCACTCGCTCTGCACTCGGCGTTGTGCGCACAGCTACTTGGCGCGGTGCAGGCCCCATCAGGCGTGGCTCCTCCACTCCGTGCGGCCCCTCTCCACCTCTGAAGAAGGGTCATCGCCTGCGACGTCGGCCCACAACAGGATTGAGTGCGTGTGGTGTGGTGTTGAGCGCTCGTCCGACCGGCTGTGACGATGAACTTGGCGAGCCGAAAAATGCGTCCGCTGGCTGCTTCTGTGATGGGGATTCACGCCCGGGAAGCCCCTTCAGACGAGTACACGAAAACTACAAACTCCTGATGCAGTCGCACGGAGCGGCTTGCCAACGAGGAGGACGCCCAGATTTGTGAGCCTTTTAAGAAAAACTCACAATTTTCCTCAAGAGCCCCGACTGCAGTTTAAA